CCCACTGTGTCCTACCAGGGCTGGCCTGGACCCAGGAAACAGCCAGACACATGACTGGAAGCCAGGCTCTGTGGTGGCTGGGCTGGGCATGCTGGGAGGGACATCAGGGCTGGAGAACTCTGAGGATGCACTGCTTAGGTCAAGGTGACACCCAGAAGAGCTTCCCAGGAAGCAGCGTCTGATGGGGGTTGGCAGAAATCTGGGGTCTGACAAAGAGCAGACATGACGGGGTCCAGGTAGAGGAAAGAGACCCTGAGGCCCCCTTCTAGGCCCTCAGCCAGAGCTCTGTTTCCATCTGCCTCTTCTGCACTTAGAAGCTTGTGCAAAATCGGATGAATGAATCCTCAGCAGGGAGGTGAAGACTGCCACAGGCTTAATAATAATCCCCAATGCAGGCACAGGACTGCTCTCCCGATCCATCACTCCCCACTGCCGCAAGGTACTGTGAGGCCCAGGAGGAGACAGGTGAGCCTGAGGTCTTGGTGCAGAGGCAGGACTCAAACCCAGGGGCACTATAGCCAGGACAGTGCCTTCACCCACAGACGCAAGGGCTCTCCACTCCCAAATCCATCCACGTGACAAGCGTTTGGCCATGGCAGGCAGCAGGACAGAATGGGGCTCAAAACCCTTGGCTGGCTCCCCTGGGCCAGTTCCCAGTCTGATGACTCAAACGCTACTGTGGACTGGGATGGGGAGGTGGCCACATAACCTCTGACCCCTCTATGACCCACACTCCCAGGCCCCCACATAGCCCCACATGGAGCAGCCTCCCTCAACCCCTCATCCCCATTCTTAGGAGCTCAGTGATTAAGAGCTTAAGAGCTAGGTTCCGGAGCCCATGGCCTGGGTTTGAATCCTGGCTCTGCCATTATCTGGCTGTGTGACCTCAGGCAAGTCACTTAACCTCTCTGGTGCTCAAGGCTGTCATCTTCATCATATGTCTACCCACTTGGGGTTGTCGGGGGATTAAATAAGATCATCAGTAGTGTCTGGAGCACAGTAAGGACTCAATTAGTGTTTTCTGTTCACATTACGATCCTCCACCCAGGCAGCCAGAGGGAGCTGAAGCACAGCGCGCCCCTGCTCCGACTGCTGACTGACCCCCACATCTAGCCCAGCTCTGTACTCTGACAATCAAGGCTGGCCTGGCCTCCTCTTATCCCTCATGTCTCTCAAGAGACCTGGCATTTCCACCCCCAAATCACCTCTCTTCAGACCTTATCAAACCTGCTCAGCTCTATGCCTAGTAGAAGAAGCTTCGAAAGCAGGCTCAATCTCTGTCCAGCAATCCCCTCCCAGAATCTCATCCTAGAAACACAATGAGGACTGGGCAGAGACTGGCCTCGGTGTCCACTATAGCACAGTTTATGAAGATAAAACAACCCAGGTGTCCATCGACAGGGGATCAGGTGGGGAATTGAGGGAGCCTGATTGTCATCTAGCTGTTGACATGGAACCAAGCAGGTTCCAATCTTCTGTGAAACTATGGACCCTATTTTAATTTTTTTTTTTTTTGAGACAGAGTTTCGCTCTCGTTACCCAGGCTGGAGTGCAATGGCACGATCTCGGCTCACCGCAACCTCCGCCTCCTGGGTTCAGGCAATTCTCCTGCCTCAGCCTCCTGAGTAGCTGGGACTACAGGCACGCGCCACCATGCCCAGCTAATTTTTTGTATTTTTAGTAGAGACGGGGTTTCACCATGTTGACCAGGATGGTTTAGATCTGTTGACCTCGTGATCCACCCGTCTCGGCCTCCCAAAGTGCTGGGATTACAGGCGTGAGCCACCGCGCCCGCCCCCTATTTTAATTTATAAAAGTACAGATCCATAGCTGCCTGGGCCAGGAGCAAGAGCAGGAGGTGACTAAAGGAGCAGGAGGGAATTTACTGGGCGATAAAAATGTTCTACAGCTAGTAATGGTCACACAACGCAGAAAACTACAAATCACTGAATGACACACTTAATATGGATAGATATTGTGGTATGTAAAGTATACCTCAATCAAGTTGTTTTTAAAAAGCTGATGAAGGCTGGTGTGGTGGCTCACACCTGTAATCCCAGCACTTTCAGAGGCTGAGGCGGGCAGATCACCTGAGCTCAGGACTTTGAGACCAGCCTGGCCAACACGGTGAAACCCCGTCTCTACTAAAAATACAAAAATTAACCAGGCACAGTGGTGCACAACTGTAATCCCAGCTACCTGGCAGCTGGAGAATCTCTTGAACCTGGGTGGCGGAGGCTGCAGTGAGGTGAGATCATGCCACTGCACTCTAGCCTGGGCAAAAGAGTGAGACCCTGTCTCAAAAAAAAAAAAAGGTTTATGAAGAGTGTGTAGCCATCCCAAACCAAAAAGAGAGAGAGAGAGACAGAGAAGAAAAGCTCTTTCACATAATTAGCAGGGCTTATCTCTGGGTGATAGCTTTAAAGTTTTATTTGAGACAGAATCTCACTGTCACCCAGGCTGCGTGCAGTGGCGCAGTTACAGCTCACTGCAGCTCCAGCTTCAAGCAGTCCTCCCACTTCAGCCTCCAGCATGGCTGAGACTACAAACATGTGTTACCCACACCCAGCTAATTTTTTTATTTTTGTAGAGACAGGATCTTGTCATGTGGCCGAGGCTGGTCTCAAATTTCTGGATAAAAGTAGTCCTCCTGCTTCAACCTCCTAAAGTGCTGGGATTATAGGCGTGAGCCACCACACCTGGTCTAAAGGTTTTAGTTTCTTCTTTTTGCTCACTTGCACTTGCTAATTGTTCTACAATGAAAAAAGATGTGTAATTGGGGCTGGGCACGGTGGCTCACACCTGTAATTCCAGCACTTTGGGAGACCGAGGTGGGTGGATCACGAGGTTAAGAAATCGAGACCATCCTGGTCAACATGGTGAAATCCCAGCTCTACTAAAAATACAAAAAATTAGCTGGGCATGGTGGCACATGCCTGTAATATCAGCTACTTGGGAGGCTGAGGCAGGAAAATTGCCTGAACCCAGGAGGCGGAGGTTGCAGTGAGCCAAGATCGCGTCATTGCACTCCAGCCTGGGTAACAAGAGTGAAACTCCGACTCAAAAAACAAAACAAAACAAATAATAAAAAAAAAATATGTTTAATTGGAAAGAACAGGAAGTTTGAATAAAAACTGAAAAATCCTCTACTGAACTGGGTAAAGCTGGGCCTGCCTAGTGAGAAGGGGCTGCCGAATCTTCAAGGCACTGGGGCTCTCTCACAGACTAGAACTTGGGCCACATGGCTGCCCATGCCTGGCCTTTGGATCTGGAGAGACAGTGTTTTTATCCATGAGTCAGTAAGAAAGGTCTGTATCAGACCTGTGGCCCAGACCGGATTCTGCTGTCCAGCTGCCCATGAAGGGAGGGTTTGTATCCTCATTCTTCTGGAGGTGGAAACTAAGGTTCAGAGAGTGAGAGGGCTTGAGCAGGATGGCAGAGGAAGTGAGGAGCATCCAGGTTCAAGTTCTGACCCCAAAGCCCATGTCCGGCTGGCTTGGTCCTGCTGCCTCTTGGACTACCCTCACTGGGCCCTGTGCTATGGAACTAGTTAAGTCAGGCCTAGATCTCCCTAGGGCTTGGGATTTCAGGGTCCACCTTTCCAGGATGCAGTGAAGGACAACCCCTCCTGCCAGGTGTAGGGGAGGCTGTTTTGGAAAAGCCTCAAAATCAGGGCCTCTCCTCTTGGGTCCTCCCCTAGCCAAGCCCCAGAGGGAAGGAGGAAGGGCTGGGAAGCTCCTGGAGCTGGCAGCCAGCTGAGCTCATCTGCAAGGCTGCAGTAGGGCAGGAGTGGGGGTGGCATAGATACATCTGTTTTGCCAGCCCCAGGGTGGCCACAGGTTCCACGGACATGTCCATTCAGGTTGTGAGTCTAGGCATCTTCTTCCTGCAACCTCGTCCTCAGTTTCCTCATCAACCAAGTGCAACTTAGCCCATGTTGCTAAAGCTCCTGCACGGAAACCATGGAGGAAATTTGCTGGGACTTTCCTTTGCTGTCTGCAAAATGGAAGCAACGGGCCTCCTAACTGGCACTTAGTGCCACCGTTGGCCCCAAACCCCGTCCCCTGACAGCCAGTGTGGTGCTCCAAAGATGGAAGCAGGTGCCGCGGTCCTGCTCCGCCCCTTCCCTGGCCGAGTAAGGCTGCTGGCGTCCTCTCCCTCCGCAACCTTTACGAGCCTTTAACTCCTCACACTTAGGCCCTGCCTCGGGGCCTTCGCCCTTCCCTCGCCCTGGCCTGGAAAACATCTTTCCCTGCTAGTCCTGGGGGTGGCCCTCAGGTCTCAGCTCAGAAGTCCCTGACGCTCTACCCAAAGTAGCCACCTACCTGCCCTCCCCTCGCCCCGCTCCACCCAACGTGCAACTAAATATCTATTTGCTGGTTTCCCGGGGGATGGTGTTCCCGAAAAGAGCGGGTGCCCAGGACTGTCTGTGATCCCTCGGTGCTTAAGACGGGGCCTGGCATTCGGTTAGTGAATGAGTGCGGAGGCGATGCCGGTAGAAGACCGGGGAAACCCGACCCGTGGCCGGGCAAGTGGGCGAGCAGCGCCCGTGCGCTTGCGCACGAGCTCCGACGCCCAGCTGAACTCTCGGGCCGGAGGGAATGACCGTGAGTAACCTCTCATTGACGTCACGGCTGGGGCTGGGGCGGGGCTTCGACGACGCCCGGGTCCCCAGCTCCAGCCGCGGCCGCCACAGGGCTGGAGACTCACCCACCGGTCGGGCGGTACCCGGCCTGGGACGCGTAGAGGCGCACGTGTCCCGGCCCGGAGCCGCCAAGGGACACCGGCCCGGCCCGGGAGTCCTCGCCGAGCGCGCGGCTCGAAACGCCAGGGCGGGAGCCAGGAAGGCTCGGCGAGGCCCGGGACACCGAGGTCCACGGCGCGCAGCTCAGCACGAAGCTGGCGCCCGGGGAGGGGGGAGACAAAGGCCAGGGAGCCACCTGCGCGCCCCCCACTCGCGCCACCCGGCGCGGCTTCAAGCCCTGCCCACCCTGACGCACCTTCGATGTCGGTCAGCAGCGCCGCGTCCAGATCGCACGGCTCGCTCAACGCCTGCTCCAAAACCGCCTCGCTGAAGGGCAGCTCGTCCATGGCGCAGCCGCCTCCTCCGGGAGGCCCGCCGGGCCCGCCGCCGCGCACGGCCCTTCTGAGGGACTGCCGCCGGTCCCGGCTCGCAGCTTCCGCCGCCGCTCCACGCGTTCGTGTCCTGCCCTGGCCTCGCAGGAGGTCCGGCGCCCGCGAAAAGTTCCTCGGAAACTGGGTTCCCGCGGCAGCGGCTCCGCTGGGCGGTGAAGGCGGAGGCGGGGCCTTTCGGGGGAGGCCCCGCCCTCCCAGATAGACGGCCCCGCCCCACCTTGAGAGAGCGGGTACCCCTGATCCCCAGTCTGCGCCACAAATCTGCCCTCAGCGGGCCCCTCCTCCAGAGCGCCCTCCAGTCATTCATTTTGTCCAGCCTCGCGCACCGTGGCAGAGCGGCCTCTGGCCGGCTGCTGCGGGAACGCGGGTAAACCAAGTCCTCTCTCTGGGCCTCGGTTTCTCCAGCACCAAGCAAGGAGCTGAGTGGAAGCCCCAGGCCTGGGCCCATCACAAACCAAAGCTTCCTCACTTCCTAGATTTCACTCTTGAGAACAACACAGACCAGGACCCAAGTTACAGGGGTCCCAGGTTTGCTGTGTTGTGAGCAGACCTGATGTAACTGCTGGGCCAGTTACATCACTCAGCTTCAGTTTCCCTCATTTGTAACGTGGGCCTCATGATGCTTCCTCACCGGCAGGCTGGGAGGCTAGTGACGATGTGGAGATCAGCCTGCCCTCTCTCCAAAGAAACCAGAAGATTGGCCACCTGAAGACAGGAGTGACTGAAGAAAGAGGCTGGAATTTCCTATCGTCGTCATCTGGTTTCGTCCCAGATCCAGCCCTAGGGATAGGACCCCAGCAGGCCCAGTGCCGCTCCTGACAGAGGAAGCGGGTACCCAAGGACGGCTGGCCCCAGGGCTGTCTGATCCCAAATTTGGTGCTTGTTCCTGGGAGTGGCCAAGACAGGGGCCACAAGGAAGAGTTGGCTGAGCTTTAGCTCAGAGCCAGGCTGCCCTGGACCATGACAGCTGGGACTAGGTCAGAGCAGACAGCCCTGATGAGAAGAGAGAAACCAAACCCAGTTCTGTGGCCTAGGGACAGAGCCAGGTGGAGCGGGAAGGAGGGAAGGGGTCCCAATGAGGTGGGTTGAAATAAACCAGAATTAACATTCAGTTATCTGAATGTGATAAGACAGTGAGCTCCCTGTCCCCAGAGGTATGCAAGCAGACAGAAGCACCCTTGGTGGAGGGCAGCCAAGGAAACTCACCAGGGCCTGGTCCTCAGGCCCTCTGGACCCTGGGCTTTAATGAGTCAAGCCATCCTGCAGACTGCCTTGCTCAGACTCCAGATATGGTCTGACCACACCCTAAGCAGGAGTAAAATTCCTGTGCATGTTAGAAGGGGTGTGTGGGGGAGAGAAGCCACAAAGCCAAGTCCCTGGGCTTGGACATGCAGCTCCCTTTGTTCCTCTCTCAGAAGTGGCTGCGATGGAAAATTACCCAGAACAGGAACGCCAGAGTTATGGGGGTCGCCAAACCACATCTCCTCAGCCACCCCTACTCAAGGATCCACACAGGACCCACTCCCTCCAGATGAACCACTGCTGGAGAACCCAGGGAATGAAGCTGGCATCTCAGTGCCCCACCCCCACCAATACTGGGGAGGGGGAACGCAGGAAGCTGGTGACTTCCCTGAAAATTTAAACAGCCCTTCCCAGGGAGAGGGGTGGGATGGGAAGTGCTCAGCCAAGCCTCAACTCTTTCTTCAGAGCTAGGCAGGTGACCTGGGTTTTCACCTGCTTGCTGTGTGACCTGGAACCACTTACCTCTCTTCTGAGTCTCAGCTACTGGATCTGTAAAATGGGACTAACCCTTCCTTCAGTCACTCTGCAGAGGCAGGTAGGGTGTTTCAGAGTCATCATCGCAACAGACTTGCCTCACTGTTTTTTGTTTGGTTTGGTTTCTTGTTTTGAGAGTCTCGCTCTATCACCCAGGCTGGAGTGCAGCAGCAGGATCTTGGCTCACTGTAACCTTCGCCTCCCACGTTCAAGAGATTCTCCTGTCTCAGCCTCCTGAGTAGCTGAAATTACGGGCTCACACCACCATACCTGGCTAATTTTTTTATTTTTCATAGAGACGGGGTTTCACCATATTGGTCAGGCTGGTCTTGAACTCCTGACCTCAGGTGATCCACCCACCTCAGCCTCCCAAAGTGCTGGGATTACAGGCCTGAGCTACCACGACCAACTATCCCTTTTTTTGGTGTCGTTGCTGTTTTTGAGACAGAGTCTCATTCTGTTGTCCAGGCTGGAGTGCAGTGGCGCAATTGCAGCTCACTGCAACCTCCACCTCCCGGGTTCAAGCAATTCTCTTGCCTCAGCCTCCAGAGTATATGGGATTACAGACATACACCACCACACCAGCTAATTTTTGTATTTTTAGTAGAGATGGGGTTTCATCACGTTGGCCAGGCTGCTTTCAAACTCCTGGCCTCCAGTAATCCGCCTGCACGGCTTTCCAAAGTACTGGGATTACAGCATTGTCCCCGACCGCCTCACCATTTTTTAAATGGGTTACCACATATGTAAATAGTATAGCTCAATAAATATGCACTCCATAACTGCAGGAGTTAGGAGAGAGGAGAAGAAGAGAAGACAAAGACAACAGGAGACCCGCAGCCCAGAAAATCCAACTGAAACCCCCATGGGCACAGTCCCACGTTGGGGTGGGAGGAATTCACATCTTTGCCACCAAAGAAACAAATCTTTGCCTCACAGCCTGGGATTACCAGGACAACTCTCAAGGTGAGGGTTGGGGAAGCCAGGAGAGGGGGTCCATTTTTCAGGGGAACAGGCTTGTCTTGGCGGCTCCTCCCTTCAAAAATCCTGAGACCTTGAAACAGGCCGCGCTTGGCTGGGGAACGTTGAGCACACCCGAGGAACGTGGACACAAGCCCTCTTCGGGTGTGCCTATCAGGGGTCAGGGATCCAGCCTGGTCCACGGTGACCCCAGACGGCGGGTTCTGCACTGTCTACAATCGCTGAGCGTTTACAGCGTGCCCAGTGCTCTTTAAACCCACTCCCTCCTCCCCACAGCCTCAGGCGGTTGAGGCTGTTACCATCCCATTTTACAGGTGAGCAGATTGAGGCACATGGAGCGGGGCAGTGAAGCGACTTGCCCAGGATCTCCCAGCACTGCTGCCCCTGATTTTGTCGGGGCTGGAGGCAGCGGGAGAGTCGGGCCAGCTCGGGTTGGCGCGCGGGCTAGGGCAGCGGCCGGAGACCCAGGGGAATCGGGGCGCCAAGCCAGACCAGCTCCGCCCCCCCCGGGCCCGGCGCAGCCAATGGGCGCCCGGCCGGGAGTGGGGTGACGCGGCGTCAGCGCGTAACTCCCGGGAACCCGGCCCTGGGTCACATGAGCTGCGCCCGCTGGACCCGGGAGGCTGGGGGGGCGGGGGGGGGGGCGGGCGCGGCGGGGACTGGCTGGGCTCATCCCCCAGGCCAGACACCTGGCCTGGACTGCCGCCAGGTGCGCGTCGCGGGCACCGGGCGGACTAACCTAGGACTGCCCCACTCGGGACTGCGTGGCGCTCCTAGAGCGGAGGATTCCGCCGAAGTCACTCAGCCCGGCCCCTGCCCGACCTCGGTTTTGCCAACTGGGAGATAGGGGTTCGCATCTCCCCACTTCCTCTCCAAGCCTCTTAGAGACTGGGAGGCAGCTTCTGTGGTTTCCGAGCCTTTTCGGGCAGGCGTCCAGCGCAGGCAGGGCCTCTTCCCAGGCCGCTGGTCCTGTCCAGCCATGCCCTTGGTGCCCGGAGCTCAGCGGTGGGTGGTAGGGCAGGCACTGGGCAGGAAGACCGGGTTGGCCACTCTCGCTATTGCCTAGGCTACTGAAACCTCTTCCCACTCCCAGAGCCTCCTGCCAACCTGCCTGGCCCTGCAGAGCCTTCACTGCTGTAGGAGCCAAGCTGGGTTATGTCTTTGCCACCAAGGAAACAAATCTTTGCCCCACAGGCTGGGCCCTGCCCAGATTATGGCCGAGGCATGAGGAGGAGGGAAGAGACTGCTCAGAGCCTGAGTCTCCCCTTCCCCTTCTCCATCTGTACATAATGGGGTGAGATGACTGTGGATGTGGAAGATTCTGGTCCTAGGTGACCCTCGTGGTCTCTTTCCCGCTTGAGCTCTGCGGTGAGCTGGGCAAGTTCTTTCCAGACCTCTCTGAGCCTCCATGGCCAGCTTTGCCCTGGAGGTTCACACTCATGTGGGCACCCATGAGTCACTGAACACGCCCTCCACGAAAGAGCTACTTGAACCCCAAAGATTGCTGCACGGTGAGAGGTAGCTCACAAAGACTGAGGAAGACTAATACCTCTTCCCTGGGGGGTAACTGGCTCTTTGGGGAGAGGCCAAGGGCATATTGAACTGGGTGAGTCCTGCTGACAGAAGAGAGAGTGAGGAAATCAATGTAATAAGGCCCCTGTGGGCACTGGGTTGACCACCCACTATACCAGTTTATGGAGCAGGGGAGTAAAGACCAGAGTGAGACAGTGACTTACTCAACACCTACAGTTAAGCCTGCCACCCCAGATAGGCATGGGGTGGACAGGGGGTGGCACCAGACAATGGAGTCCACTCCCTAGTGCTGAGAGTAGAGATTTTGCCTTCTTGGATGTTGAGAGTCTCGGCTTGGAGGCCCTGGACGGATTCCTCTGGGTTCTGCCCCAAAAGCTCTGACAGGGACTCCTCTAAAATAAACTGGCAGAATTTCTGGGTGGGTCATGCAAACCTATCCAGGGTCTCAGGTTCAGCCCTCCCCTCTCCCACCAGGACCCAAAGGAGCCCCTTTTCTTGAAAAAGAGGTGGGTTGGAAAAGAATCCCTCTTTCTCCTTTCATGGGCAGGTGCACTCTGAGCCATGGAGGAACCACAGTTCTCCATGCAGCCCCTCCCAGATCTCTGGGGATGGAAAACAGCTCTCCATCCAAGGGCTGAGGAGGGAAGACTGGGAGAGCCCAGGAGTTTGTCTGTGTCACTCCCATCTCTGGCCCTCTCTGTCCACATTGCAGTGACCATCTATTGATTGTACCTGGTTACGACTGGTGATGGTGGTGGTCCCAACATGGCCCCTGCCGTGACCACCTGCCTCCTATCAGTGGGTAGCGGAGCCCCTCCTGAGCCACCCTCCCAGAAGGGCTGCTGCTGAGGGTGCGTGGGGCAGCTTTATCTGCTGGCAATGGAATTAATGTCTTTCCTGCCCATCCATGGCCCTGTCTGGGAGGTCCAGCTCTGGCTGGGTTGGCTGCTGGTTCCGCCACTACTCCCTGTATAGCCTGGGGCAAGCCTACAGCTCTTTCTGGTCCTCCATGTCTTCACTGGCATAGTGAGAGGCTGGGCAGATCTCCAGGTTCACTGGGGGTTTGGTGAGTCCACCCCAACTTGAGGTCCATCCTTAAGCCCCAGCGAAGGGATGAAAGGGCCCTCGGCCTCCCAAGCCACCTGGAGAAGGCACAGGTCCCACAGGCTCCCACAATGCACCCTTCATGACTCCCTATGCCTCTGGGCCTGGGGGCCTGCTTCCGGGACAGCTGCCTTACAACAAAGGGCTGCAGGCGCCCACCTCCAGGACAAGGGGAGAGAGGGAAAGAAGCCTTTTTAGAAAGGCTTCTTCCTAAAGGCTGCGGGGATGGGAGGAGACAGATTTCTTTTGGTGGGGGATAAAGATGTCCTCTGTTTGTGGCGATGGTTGCCGAACCCTGCGAATATTCTAAAAACTACTTAATTGTACACTTTGAATGGGTAAATTGTTTGCTATGTGAATTATAGCTCAGTAGAGCTGTTAAAGTGTGAAGTCTACCTGGCTTGGAGCAGCAGTTCTCAAATCAGTGCCCAGCACAGGCTCTGCAGATGATGCCCATCCAAGTTGTGGGAGCCCAGCTGAGGGTGAGGGCTGAGTCTTAAAGGGGGTCGGGGGTGGCTCAGGCCTGGGTGCCTGGGCAAGGCTGAGTGGACTCCTTCCTGCCCATCTGGGACCTGGGGTGAGACCCAGGAACACCACTGCACTGGGTCCTGGAGCTCTCAGGCAGCCTGGGCAGTGGGGATGGGTGGACTGAGGGTCCCCATAGCCACCCCTGCTTAAAGACAGCAGGTGGTCAAAATTGGCCCTTTGGATAGTCACAGCTGATTCAGCAGACCACGAAGGCACCATTTGTTCAATTATTTATTTATTGTGGAGTATTTTACATGCAAGAACCCAACTGGAGAGAGGGTATCTGGAAGGAGGGCCAGTGGGGTGGATGGACGCTCTGAGCCTCAGGTGCACTGACCCACCCTCCAGAACCAGCTCTGCCCACAGAAACACATAACAGTGACAAGAACACTAAACTTCTGGGACGAGTGGACAGCAAACGCAACATTCAACACATTCCTCTTTTCCGTAGCCCCCAACAATCCTGAGAATCCTCACAAATTAAGTGCAAACTTTAGGAAATAAATACCCACCCCCCTCTCTGGGAGAGCCTGGAGGTATGGACAGACAGAAGCAGTTCTGAATCGGGCTGACGCCTGCTCCCTGCGGCTGTTGCCTGCAGGGGATGCCTGACGTGGACCCCACAGACAGGAAGGGCTGGAGACAGGCACGGGAGAGGGGGAGGTGAGCACTTCAGGAGCTGACAGGCAAAGTCTCTGAGGTGGAAACACTTCTTTCTGGGTGGGGAAGACTGGCTGTAACCCAAATGGGTCAGACATTCCCACAGCCGACAGTGGAGAGGCTCCCAGGGGCCACCCCAGCAGTGCCAGAGGCTGAGGCCAGGCTGCAAGCAAGCACTCCTCCACACTGCTCCTCCTGCGCTGCCCAGGGCTGTCGCGGCCCTAGGAAGACCCATGGCCTACCCTGAGCCATCCAGAAGGCTGGGCCCGACTGAGACAGCTGTGTGTGTCTGTGGGGCCCAAAGTGGGGTGTGGCAGCGGGAAGGAGGCGGGCAGGAGCGTGGGCATTGGCAGCAGCTGCCGTCAGCGTCTGCTGCCCCTGGGCCATTCAGAGTCCTTGCCCCAAGTCTCCAGGCTGGCGCCTCTCCTCCCCAGTGGCTGGAGTGACAGCACAGGCCCCAAGACCACTGGGTGGTGGGGGAAGGTCAGTGAACCAAGGCACCATCACTCACATGGAGGCGCTAAAAGACAGAAAGACAGGACAGACAGATGGTCACCTTTCCCTCTGGCCCAGGCCAGCAGCAACCCCGAGGCTCCAGAGCTCCTTGTCCCGTGCACAGTGATAATCGAGCTGGTCATTCTCCCAGCCTGGACACAGCTGGCCTGCTCAGTGCCTGGGGGCTGCCCTGGTAGGGACCACTCTGCCACAGGCAGGCCAAAGGCCCACGGTGCCAGCAGCCAAACTGCACAAAGTGCCATTCTCTGCTGCCCACTGGCCAAAAAGGTAGGCAGGAGGGAATGGTTAGTTTTCACATCTCAGCACACAATGAACACCTCAGAAAGGGTTAAACACATTCCCAAGAAAATATTTTGACAAAATAAATATTTTAACCTATAATCAGGTATAATTAGTGCTTATGAGGAATCCCAGCAATAATTTAGTGTAATTAAGTATATACTGTATCTGTGGTTTCTAACACTCATGGAGAGGCTGGTGGCCCTTGAGAGTCCAGGTTTCCTGACAAGGCTGTGCCCCCTTCCTGGACCAGGCAGCCTGAGGGCTGTGCTGCCCAGATGGTGGGATGTGGGAGTAGAGGCCTTGGGACAGGACATCTTGCCAGGACTGAGCAGAACCCCCTCTGGGGCACCGGGGCTATACTTGCCTCCTGTTTGGGCCTCAAGCATGTGGCTCCTCTGTCTACAGGTGGGGCAGGCTACCTCTGGACAGGAGGTGCAAGTAGGTGCTTGAAAGCCACCCAAGGGTTGGCTCCAGGCCAGGAAGGCAGGTGACACTTGTCAGCATGGCCAATGGCCTCCTGCCAGCCCATAGGGATCCACCACTCCCTGCTGCCCCTGGCACTGGCAATGGCACTGGGGTGGGGCAGCTCTGGGCATGGGTAAGAACAGGTGCCCATGGGGTGACTGGGGGCTCCCCAGGAGGGTACCTATCTCAGCTTCACACACTGCAGAAGCCCTCCAGACTCCTGACCTTCTGGGACTTCCCATTTCATGAGGCAGGGAGGCTGGCTCTTCCCTCCAAGGACACTGGGTCTGGGCTGGAGTGCTGAGGCTGTGGAACAATGAGTGCCTAAGGTCCAGCAACCTGCCACCCACAGGCCCAGCTCTGGCAAGGCTTCAGAGACAACCCAAAGGCAGCCAGCCGCCTTCTCCGCAGCTGACCTCAGAAGTCTTCACATTCAAGCTGGCCTCAGGGAGTTCTGCCTTTGATAAACATTGAGGAGAGGGGCAGGGGCTGACCAAGCGCCGGGAGCCAAGGGGCCAGGTGTGGCATGTGCTACCAGAGAGGACAGGGCTAGAATCAGGCTGGCCACGCTCCACGGAGGAGGTTCCTGGCTGAACCTGAGGAACTACAGTGTGACATCCAGCTAGTCCTGCCCTCAGCCAGACCGAGGTCTCCTCTCTGGAGGAAGCTGGAGGGCCACTGGCCTGGCACAGGGTCCTGGGTCGGGCAGTGCCTGCTCTCCATTGAATGTTCCTGTTGTGCTCAGCATAGCCCCCAGCTGAAGTCACCATCCTAAATGCTCCCCGAAGACCGTGTCACTGATCTCTTCTCCCCTGAAGCCCAGACCCCTTTCCCTGCTCAGCTGGTGGTCTGGCCTGTCCTGCCAGGTGAGTAGGGCTAACTGCAATAAGGGTGGGGAACCTGTGCTGACCTAGGCAGTGCATGCTGGAGGGGACAGGAGCACACTGACTCAGTGAGCTGGGCCTGAGACGCACAGGGGTGCACAGAGCTGCAGATTTCTCCTTCTTCTGGGCAACAGCAGCTTGGTGGGAGGTGTGGGGGTGTCTGGCTGGACCAGGGCCTAGGATGACCCATGAGTCCCTTGCCCATGACCAGGAGACACACCAGTGAGGACACGGGGTGGGAGTACGTGTTACCAGCCCCTAGATGCTCAGCCCTAGGCTCTGTCTGCCTTCAGGATCAGTTTGTGGGGAGAGTGTAAGCTGTGGCCAGGCTTGCAGGAGTCTGTGCAAGCAGGCCCAGGACTATGCCAGGGAGCAGGGCAGGGGCCTCAGTGCTGCTTGGGCCTCTCTGTTATTTGGAACCTCCAAGCATGCCGCAAAGCTGTCTACTGCTGGCTCTGGAGGCAGAGGTGCGAGGCTGTGATGGGCCAGGCCACAACCTTGGGTGTGGCCCATGTGCATACCCAAGACACCTCCCCAGGCAAGCCCCTCCAAAGCCAGGGCCAGGTGTGTGCGTGTGGACCTGCGGTGTGCACGTGGCAGTTTGGTTTCTTGGTAGTGTCATCTCAGCAGCGTGCCACATGGCCACCATCTGTGGGCTGCCTGCTGCCCTCCCAATCGCCCTTTGCCCACTCCCTGCCCTGGGAGCCCGCAGGGCCCCTTGGTATCAGGCTTGGCTACTGAGCCGGCTCAGGTGTGAGGCCTGGGCTAACAGCAGAGTGATAGAGAGAGGGTCAAGAAGGTGACCTCCTTCTTGACCTCCTGTGGACACCCAGCAGAACCTTCTCAAATGCCAAAAAGCCAAGCGTCACAAGGTGATAAGTCCAAGAAGGGAGACCAGGCCCATGAGTGCAGCCACATCCTGCTCTTCCAGAGGTGCCACCAAGCCCCTTTGGGGAGAGAGGGGCACAGGAACGAGGGTGCCTGAGAAGGTCACTGAGCCAGGCAGAGGTGAGTGCAGGGCGGGGCCGGGCCTGCTCATTCTCTGTGGGCAGGTGGAGGAAAGACAGTCATGGTGGTCTGCTCGGGAAGCACTGCCAAGGGGCTGACCTGCTTGAGGCTGGGCCACTCTGCCCGCCCTTCCTGGGAGGAAACATGGGCAGAGGGGCCTGTGGTGGGAGGGGTGGGAGTCTCTGGCTGTAGCTGTCCCACCACTCAGAGAAAAGAAGGTGGCTAAAGGTGGTCCTGACTGGTGGGAGACCTGGGAGCAGACACGGTGGCTATTCCATGGAGACACGGGTGTGCGGGCCCTGTGGAGCTGGGGATGGAGGAGTGGCCAGTGCCTGGTGTCCACAGGGTGTGAGCAGGGACCCGTCATCTGGGGAGGCAAACCACAGCCCCGCTCACAGGGCGAAGAGGGCATCCTCCGACCGCTCTGGCTTCTTCCGTCCAGAGGGGTTTGAGGCGGGGGCAGGAGCCTCCATGGGGGGTGAGGGAAGGTCGGGAACCATTTCAGCAGCTTTGGCTCTTTCTTCAAGGAATTTATCAAACTCTGCAATACAAACCAAGGAAGGGTTAGGGTTGGTGAGGGCTGCCCACCGGAGGAAGCACAGCCTTCTACTCCTCAGCCTCAGTTTCCTCCTCTAGGGCAGGCATGAAGTCCCGCTAGGAGCAGGTGGGTAAGGAGGGCTTCATAAGCTGCAGTTGGGGGGAAGGTCCTGGCTGTGCCCAGCTCTCCAGGCCTGTAGGGAGAGGCTCTGGAAAACACAGCCCAGAGCACTCATCCCACTGCTGACTTGGAGTTTTGTCCATTTTCCAGATCAGCACTGGGGGTGGGGCAGTGTGAGCTGGAGGGGCCAGCTCCTGATTAACCAGGCACGGACCATCCCACCTACCCCACCCCTGCCCACCGACAGGGGAGACTGAGCAGATGCCGAGGAAGGAAGGCAGTGGAGAGGGTGTATTGCCCCACTGACAAGGCCTAGGGAGCGGGGTCCTGATGGGTCCCTCCCTGTGGAGCTGTCTGACCACAGGGTCTGGCAGACTTGGAGAGAGGGCACAGGAGCTCGGGCAGGTGGGTGGAGTGGGGCAGGATGAGCTGCGAGGGTAGGATGTGAAGGGCAGGGAATGTGGGGGTGGCCATGTGGGAGAACTAAGACCCCGATGCTCCCATCCAGCCCATCAGCTGAGGCCCAGGAGAGGCTCCTTCCTCTGGCTCAGTGGCCCAAGGGTGCTGCTGCACACCCCAACAAACTGCGCATGTCTGAGCTGAGCTGAGCACCTGTGGGTGGGGACCCAGTGGCAATCTGCACCCACTATTCACTAGCTCTGGAACCTGGTGGAAGTCACATGTTCTTTCCGACCTCTGTTTCCCAATAAACTAGATAAGAGAAATAACACTTCCCATATCAGTGTAAGACCTGGGTGGGACCAAGTCACTTGTGAAGCCCACGGCTCAGGGCTTGGCACCAGGTGCTCTGGCAGCAGAAGCTCCAAGGTGATGGGGGGGCAGGACCTGTGCAGCCTGGGGCAGGAGCAACAAAAGGGGGCTGTAAGGCCATTGGCCAGGCCATACCTTCACTTGTGACACCCTCCTCCAGGTCATCGCCCTTCTGTGGGAGAAGCAGAGAGAATGCAATCAGGGCACTGGTCCCAGCACTGCCGGCCCAGCCACCTGTCTGCCCATGGCTACCCCAGGGCAGCACTGCCCAGGAGAGCCTGAACAAAACTTCCTGATTTTCCCTGTTTCCAGACTCCTGTGCAAAATACTGCTCTTCTTATTGGAGTAATAGAAACTTTTTTTTTTTTTAAAAAAAAGCAAAAAAATTCAAATATGTTTTAGGTTTTGATCCTCCAGAAGGGCTGGAAAGAAAACCAGAAACGGTGCTGGCTGGTTCTCAGCCTGGGCTGCAGAGGGTGGATCCCGCCTTCCGCACTCTCGAGGCTGTAGGGAGAGGTGCAGAGCAGTGGCCACAGCAGCTGAGCCTGAGCACACGCAAGGTCATGTGTGCCCAGCACAACACCCACTTCATGCCAGCCACGGGGTTTCTGGGAAGACACTGTTCATACCAATAGCTGGAAACTGCATGAGGCCTGGATGTCTCAGGGCCACAAAGCCCACAGCACAGGGCCCGTCATTCAGTAGGTGCTTTGGCAGTGGACGCTGGGCCTTCAGAAGCCATGTCCCGCAGCCTCCTGGGAGCCGCACCAGCCTCCTCCTGTGGCCCAGATTCCGTCACCTGCTGCTGGCTCTTGAAGGAGCCATGGAGGTTCTGTGCACTCAAAAATTAAAGTGCATCAGACTTGATTTTGTTTGGAGAACATGGTGTGTCTTAAGCTCCTGGGGCTCCTGGGGGACTGCATGAGAAGGGCCTTATTGGGAAGGGGCAGGATGGGGAAGTGACAAAGCTCTGGGCTGGGCTAGGAGACCTGGGTCCTTCCTGGCTCTATCACTGACCTGCTATGTAGCCTTACTGGACACATCCCTTCCCTGTCTGGACCCTGGGGTCCCCCTTAGAAGTTAAGGACCTTGGTCCTTCCTGTCTTGCTTCTGTGAGAGGAGCACTTTATTTTCCAGGTATCCCCTTGGGAAAGATGTCCCGGGGTGTGTTCTTTTCTTCCTCCCTGACACCCTGGCAGCTGCCTCCTTTGGCAAGGCATGTCTTTGGAAAGCCTGACCTTCTGGGGAGGAGGCCCACAGCAGCAAGAGGCCCCACCCCGAGGCCTGCTGTCCTAGTGTGGGAGGGGCCAGGTCACCAGCCCACAGACAGCCAGGTTGATTGACCCTGTGGTTAAAGAACTCAACAGGCTCTTCTGCTTGGGGACAAGGCCCCCTGCAGAGTAGGCAGCTAGGAGGGAGATGAGGTGTCTCCAGCTCTGGGGGAGAATCCAACTAGCCCATGACTCTGGGCAAGCCACTTCCCAGAGTGCACTTCTTCCCCCCGCCCCCCCCCACCACCCTGACTCCCCGCTGGGCTGCTGACAGTGAAAGTGCTTTGTAGAGAACAAAGGGAGGGACCAGCAGGTGTCATGCAGCCACTGCAGCTCTCCTTTCTTGAGACCTGTTGCCATTTTCAGATGCATAGTATCCTCGTCTTCTAGCCCTATCTCTGAGGATGGAGACAATGGGTCTTTGGGGCAGGGGTTCTTTTAAATCAAAAATTAGAAAGGCAGGAGGGGGATGGCAGCGAATTAAAAACAAAAGCACCATGTGTCTACTTCACAATTAAAAGAAAAAGAAAACACAAAACAAACACGCTCTGCTACTCCCTCCCTGAAAATCAAAGCACGCACACACATCTAAAATGGAGAAGAAACTTGGGGGAAGGCAAGTGTGTGTTTTGGAGCCAGCCAGGGCTGGGTCTCTGTGTGTGAGGGAAGCTGTGCCCAGAGCCTTGCCCCAGCACAGCTGGCCTCCCCAGGCCGGGAGGCCACTGCACACCTGTGGCTATGGGCTGATGTCGGGGAGGAGGGGGAGCTATGGAGCTGGCCCAGACCTCCCTTCTCCACCAACCCAGACAGGGGTGTAGCCCTCGCCGACTCTTCCCCCAAGGCCTATCCTCAGAAGAGTCTCTGCTGCTCCACACCCACACATGAAGTATAAAAGTCAAGTCTCACCAGGTCCGTCCTGAGCCACACCTCAATGTCGTCCATGACAGAGGGCTGCGCAACGGGAATCTATGGAGGCGGCAAGCGGCGGGCCAGGCAGCCCCCACACAGCCAGTGAGGGAGACAGAACACCAAACAAAGGAATCATCAACAGCAACCCCAAATGAAACCAAAACGTACACAGAGCAAAGAAACACCACTGGCACGGCACACAGGGGCAACGCAGGGCAGCTGTGAGAGATGGCAGGTGAGGAAAGCGATGAGGCTTAAATGAGAAGAAGCAGGCTGCCTGGCAAGGCCAGTGAGAAGGAAGGGGGCTGTACGCGTTCTTCAGATGGAGAACTTTTTGACTATGCGTTTCCACTCTCATATTGCAGGGTCAGCCCTGGGCTGCAAAGCACCTTCTAGCCCCAGGAAGGCGCTGTCATACAGGTTGATTTGGAACTCAGCCACTGTGATAGTCCACCATCAGACCCAACCCAGAGGAGGCCAAGTGACCACCTGCCCAGAGCAGGGTACAGGTGCTCAGGAGGGAGGGCAGCAACAGCCCTGGGGGATGTAGGGGTCTGTTTGCTCAGCTGAAGGTATTTTGAAATGCGTCCTGGTGCATTTCTGAGTGGAGAGGGGCAGTGGAGGAGGTGTGCGCTCCCTTGGACTGGGTGTGGCGTGGTAGACAGAGGCAGGCACATTTTACCATCAACAGAAATACAGCACAAAACGAGGGCTTTGATGACCAGGGGCCTGTGGGCCTCTTTGGGGGAAATTCATGAAGCAGCCCTGAATGCCGCAGCTCCTTTTAGTCTTGCCCTTTCTTTGCTGTGCTTCAGGAGTCAGAGAAACCAAGTTCAGCTGAGCACTGGGTGCAGCAGCCAGAGCCAGGGAGGTGGCGGCTTCCAGGCGAACAAAGGTGTACCTCGGGGGTACTCGAATAGCCACCTTGCTTGGGCCACTGTGCCAAGCGCCTCAGGGACAGAGACTCTGAAAAATCCATGTGTCAAATAGGACGTGGTAAGGAGTAAAGGCAACCTTTAACTCCCTAGAAGCCATGTTAATGGAATGTTGGCTCCCAGCCTAGAAAAATGAGGTGATGGCCCTTCATCACCTCCTCACCTACGCTGGCTCTGGGAAGTACCCTCCTAGGGCTCACTTGTAAGACCACCATTTCTATAAAAAATGCCAGCACTGTGTCTATAGCAGGCATCACCCTAATGCCACGATCTACGGTAAGACTAAAGTAAAAATAAGCAGTAAAAGGAATACCTCAGTGTCTATCAAATGTAAAAAATAACACGACCCTCACAAAGGAAAAAAAACAAAGAACATGTATCAGCAGCAGTGATGTGACAACTCCAGTCCTGGAGGTTCACATGTGCTGCTGCTAGTGGGGGAGGGTGGTTTGGGGCCCCAGGCAGACCCAGCACTCTGAGCAGGTGTCTGCGATGCCACCGGAGCTCTTCACTCCCTCAGTGAGCGCGGCTGGTCCCTTGCTCTGAGAAATGTACTCTGTGTCCTAACTTCAGACCCAATGTGGGAAGCTCACAAGATCATTTTCAGAAAGGCCCAAGCCAGTCACTGATCAGATTAAGAAGAGTCTGTGTTGCCCATTATTTCTTTGACTTACTAGGGACTTAAGAATGTTGAATTGGGCCGGGAGCAATGGGTCACATCTGCAATCCCAGCACTTTGGGAGGCCAAGGTGAGCAGATTGCCTGAGGTCAGGAGTTCAAGACCAGCCTGAGCAACATGGAGAAACCCAGTCTCTACTAAAAATACAAAATTAGCCAGGCATGGAAGCATGCACCTGTAATCCCAGCTACTTGGGAGGCTGAGGCAGGAGAATCACTTGAACCCAGGAGGTAGAGGTTGTAATAAGCCGAGACTCCATCTAAAAAAAAAAAGAGACTCCATCTAAAAAAAAAAAGAATGTTGAATTGAAAAGGCACCAGGGAGTCTTATCACCTGGACATGAAGCCTAGGGACAAGAAGCATGTGAGTTCCTCACTGTGAGGTGGAACACAAGTGACCGATCGCTGTGCTAACAATGCCTAAGGTGGGCACTACCTTGCCCATCAAAAAGCTGTAGGGCACACAGGTGCCATCTGCCACTCTGTGCTTGCTGGCAGGCTTTCCACCTTGACACATTCCTGGAATGGGACATGCCAGTTATCATGCTCTCCATGCCTGTAAGTCAGAATGTCTGGCCTCTGGGAGGACACATGCCATGCTGAGTCCCCAGAACTGAAGCTCAGAAGTCAGCAGCGTCTCCAGAGAGAAAACACCCCCACATGAGCGGTTAGAGTGCACACCAGCCCTTTCTTTACACCTGACCAACTTTTGTTGGCTTAGGAGAAACTGAGATTAGATGTCCTGAGCTTTCCAATGTGTTGCAAAAGCTAGAACAAAGACCCTAAGGGGTCAGGGGCCTTGAACCTTCAGATTTATCATGTAATTAATTGTTTTGTTGCTGTTGAAGAACAAATCCTTTAAGCCTGGGGTCATGCTCTAGTTTTCTTCCTTGGAGAAAGAGAAGAAATCAATCTTGAGAGCCAGCATGCTCAGAAAATAAACAATGACACTTAAGAAATTCCTCAACCCCTCAAAAAGAGTTTCCCCAAAGTTGGATCATGGGAACGCTTTTCTTCCCTGTCCTAGATTTTTCTAGGACAAATAAGTGGTATGTTTATGGAATGGCATCCTCCAGCCCAGGCCCTAGAGGGCACACTGAGGGGGAGAGGAGAATGCACTGGGTGGAGTCTATTTGGACCCTCACACTCACTGCTGGCAGGACTTGGGGTGAGTCGCTCCTCTCTGGACCCCACTTTCTTCACCAGAGAGCTCCCAAGTTTCTTCTATCCTAAGAAGCCTCAGAGATTTGGGTGGAGAGGCAGGAGTAGGGGACAGAGGCCTGAGCAATGCTTGGCCTCAGTGTCCTCATCTGGCAATTGATAGGTTGTATTTGGTTTTCAATACTAATGACTCAGAACCCTTAACTTTCAGGTTGGTACTTCTGTTTTCTTTCTTTTTTGAGATGGGTTTTGCTCTTGTTTCCCAGGCTGGAGTGCAATGGTATGATCTCGGCTCACCGCAACCTCCGCCTCCTGGGTTCAAGCAATTCTCCTGCCTCAGCCTCCCGAGCAGATGGGACTACAGGCATGCGCCACTGTGCCCAGCTAATTTTTGTATTTTTAGTAGAGACGGGGTTTCACCTTGTTGACCAGGATGGTCTCGATCTCTTGACCTTATGATCCACCGGCCTCGGCCTCCCAAAGTGCTGGGATTATAGGCGTGAGCCACCAAGCCCAGCCCGGTGCTTCTGTTTTCTAATTCAGAAACCCGGGGATATCAGAAATGATTGGAAGTGACTCATTACAATATGGAAGGCACTTGGCCTCAGGGCGTGAACCGTGGCAGAGCAGCTTGCTGGCTAACAGTTAAGCTTATATAACATACACTTAAACTGACTTTCTTGCAGCCGGACACAAAACCTTAGCATCTAAACCTCTTGTCCTGGTAAATAAATGCCTTGAGTATTACAACAGGGCAAAGTTCCTTCTAATAATGTAGGTGCTTTCAGAATCAGACTAAACATGTACACTGCCTAGAAAATATGAACTAAAGAAACTGTGGGAGGCCGAGGACGCACTCCTTGTCAGGCAGATGGGAGGAAAGCAGGGCCCTGGCTAGAGGAGGGGGCACTGCGTTCTGGGGGACTCTTGTTTCTTCCATGAAGCTTTGGGCAAGTCACCAGGCCCCTGGGAGGCCTTGGTGTCCTCATCTGTCAAACTAGGGGCTGGCCCAGCAGATTCCTAGGAAGGCTGTTGGCTCTGATGTTCATAGTTTTATTTTTATTTTTGTTTATTTATTTTGAGACAGAGTCTTGCTCTGTTGCCCAGGCTGGAGTGCAGGGGTGCAACCTTGGCTGACTGCAACCTCTGCTTCCCAGGTTCAAATGATCCCTGTGCCTCAGCCTCCTGAGTAGCTGGGATTACAGATGTGTGCCACCACATCCACCTATGTTTTTTTGTATTTTTAGTAGAGATGGGGTTTTGCCATGTTGGCCAGGCTGGTCTCAAACTCCTGGCCTCAAGTGATCTGCCCACCTTGGCCTCCCAAAGTGCTGGGATGACAGGTGTGAGCCACTGTGCCCAGCCTGATGTGCCACAGTTTTGGCATTTTCTTGGGCAATGATCCAAGCTGAAGGCTGGTCTGAGGGATCTGAAGAAGAATGAGTTGGAAGAGGGGACAGAAAGGAAGAAGACATGTGAAGAGGGAAAAGGGAAGGAAGCTAGCACAGGAAAGCTCTCCAATAGAGACTACAGCCCGAAGCTCAGCCAGGCTGGCTTGGCTGAGGCAGTGGTTAGACTAGCCCTGCCCATTTTCAAAGTCCATAGACAGGCATCTGGGATGTCAGAAGCCACAGATTTTGATGTGAGTAGCAGGTGAGCCACGCTACTGTCTGCTGATTCTTACTTGGAACTGCAGGCAGGGGCGGCTCTGCCTCAGGGATCAGGAGGGAGGGTTGCCTGCCCAAGGAGGAGAGGTATGTCTGGTACTCCAGGAGTTAGGATTAACCTTCCAGAGTAAGAGGAGCCTTGGGGGCCTCAAGGTGTGAGTAGGGAGTCCCGTCTTCGAAGCCCACACCTGGGTTTTGGCAGCGGCAGACTCTTTACTAACCTACCACTGTTCTTGTTTTGACTTACGAGGGTATCTTCCTGGCTGCACCCTGCATAAGGAAGACATCTCAAGCCGATCAGCAGCCAGGAGAGGCAAAAAGACCTCACACTAGAGAGGCCAGAGAGAGAGAGCACAAGCCTAGCAGTCTCCCTGAGAGCCGCCCGGTGCTGGCCCGTTGACAGATCTCATTTCTCTTCAGCTGGTAATGAGCCTGGTGGTGGTAGTTAACTTCCACACACCTGAGGCCCAGGACATAAGGGTTCCATCAGATGCGCCTCTGCAGCTTCCCACAGCCCCAAGCCCACAAGGGAACCCACCTGTGCAGTTTTCAATGCAACAGGAACAGTTTCTGTAGCTCTGGTGTACTATTTCCAGAGAAGCTGTGAATCCCTTCCTACGACACTGGGACGAAGTCTAAACGCCTTTGATCTCACTCAATAGTACAAAAAGTTTCCAAGTAAAGAATTTGTACTTGGGAGGTTTAAAAAGACTCAAGGTTTCTACACTAAGGGAAATAAGGCAAAGCAATTAATATTTGTTGTAAAGAAAAAAAAAAACTGCAGTCAGTCAGGCAAGACACCAGGTTAGCTGTTAGTTACGTTTGTTTTTGGGAAGTTAGAGACTGGAGCTCTCTGTGGGGACCAGGCAGTGGGGGGCAGTCTGTGTGGGCAGAGGCAGGAGCCACCACCAGCTGCCAAGGCTGCCCTCACGGGATTTTGTGTGGGCAGCATCCTTTTTTGCAGGATAAATAGGCACAAGGACACATGGGCTGGATCTTCCCAATGAGTGGACATGGTCTCAAGAAGCCCTGCTGTAAGGGCCCCGACATGTGGGCCAGAGCCCAGCCTGTCCCTGAAGAAGCAAATGAGAGGCCTGGGCCAGCACATCTCTCTAAGAACAGGCTTGGGGTGCAGTGGAGGAACTGTCTCCTCACCCAGAGCAGGAGTGTGCTGCTGCTGTGACAGGTGGCAGGAGACCTGCCCGGGCTGACAGCAGAGCTCTGCAGAGGCACCTGCCCAAGCTGGGTGGCAGGCAGATGCCCCTTGCCCCCCTGGCTCTGGGTGGTCCTGCATGGCTCAAGTTCCTGCTCACTGGTCACACTTTGCTCAAGCAGGTGGCCCCTGTGCTCCTTGCAGTCTAGGGCCTGCTGGCCTTTCCTCTGGCCACAGCCTGGCATAGCACACTAGGGGCAGTTATGTATTCCTCTCACCCCGCCCCACCTGGAGGGAGAGGCCCATGTTTCCACTGCTTTCATCATCTTTCCTTCTCTGCGTTTTCTCCAGCTCAGGCTCCACCACAGGGACACAGAGTTCTGGGCTCTGAAAGAGGTGAAATGGTCATCCCAAGGCATGCAGCCTGAGATGAGCTTCCCCTCTCTCCATGCACCAGCATCAGGGCCACCTGAATAGACAAGGTGGGAGAGACCCTTGCAGGACTGTGGGCAAGGAAAGCTCTGCTACATGAGAACTGCGTTTATAAGATTGAACTCCCCTGGGCTTTGTCTTCTTTGATTTCTGTTTTGTGTACTTTTTTTTTTTTTTTTTTGAGATGGAGTCTGGCTCTATCGCCAGGCTGGAGTGCAGTGGCATGATCTCAGCTCACTGCAATCACTGCCTCCCAGGTTCAAGAGATTCTCCTGCCTCAGCTTCCCAAGTAGCTGGGATTACAGGTGAGTACCTCCACACTTGGCTAATTTTTGCGTTTTTAGTAGAGACGGGGTTTCACCATGTGGGCCAGGATTGTCTTGATTTCCTGATCTCGTGATCCACCCACCTCGGCCTCCCAAAGTGCTGGGATTATAGGCATAAGGCACCGTACCAGGCCTATGTATTCTTTAACAGGTTTTAAATACTTTTGGGGGACTTGGTGGTTTTATATTATACAAACTGCAAGCCTAGGACTGCCAAATTCACAGGCACTGGGCTAGTGGGGGATTCTCTGACTGGTCAGATGCTTTGGGTCTGTTCCCTTAGAATTGTTCCCTCCCAAGCAAAAGCCACAGTAACTTGTGCTCATCCTGGAAAAGTGAATACTGCCCAGAGCTCCAGAGACAGTAAAAGGAAGGAAAGGACCCTCTCCTCATCCTGCTAATGTCCCAGACTCTTAAGGCCAGGAGGCAGGGACCGCAGCAGAAAACTAGAGGTTATTTCTGGGACTGGGAATCTGTGCTTATGGAGATTATGCAAAAATAGGAGGGGAAGTTTGGCACCCCTGTCAGAAAGAGAATGTGGCCTTGTACTGTCTGATTCAAAGGGCTCGGCAGGTCACGAGAGGAACACATAAGCTGTTATGCAGGTAGGGGCTGGGGCGGACAGTGGGCTGGGCTCGGCTGGTGACTCCTCACCATTCCTTGGGTTATGAGCCAGCTGTCTATGGGTTCCAGGTCAGAGTCCCCACCTCTACCTCTCTTCTGGGCCGAGGACAGAAAAGTCTCAGAAAGAAAAGTCACAGCAAGACCCATGAGAAAGAAGTCAATAGCATATTGTGGAAACAGAAAAGTCACTCTTCAGATGTGACCCTTTGCCATTTAAGGAAAGGTAATGCCCCTGCTCCCAACCTCCACCCCTGGCATGTCCCCCTTACCTGCCTGGAAAAAAGAAGAAAAGGTTAGTAACCAAGAATCCCAACGGGATAACATATACTCATGCCAACTACTCCCATGCCCTGGGGACATCTCTGGGAGATCACAGAAGGCCGACCAGAGCTGCTTCTCTCAATTCCCTGCCAGGGTTGGCAAGGGGTCAACTTTTCAAAGAACCAGTTTTACAAACGCTTTTCTACTTTTTTCTAACTTATTCCTGCACTTTTTCTTTTTTACTCTTTTCTAGTGGCTTGTGTATTCTTTTTCTAAGCTCTTGAATACTAAATTTAGGTGTATTCTTTATTGCCTTTTAAAGTATTTATTGATTTATTTGAGATGAGGTCTCACTATGTTGCTCGGACTGGTCTCAAAAACTGCTGGGCACGAGCGACCCCTCTGCCTCAGCCTCCTGAGTAGCTGGGATGACCGTTACTTGACTGAGCTGGCTGGATCTGATTTCTGGAGCTGTGGCTACATAATTTTCTCCCCTTCTTTATTGTGTTCTTAATTTCTCCCTTGGCCTCATTTTCATTTCCAGGTCAGCATGGCTTGGGATAGGACAAGGTAACCTGAAATGCTGCAGGTGGGCAAGAATATGTGTGGACACACACAGACACACACAACCCACATGCCCTGCTGCCCCGTATCACTGAGGCTGTGGCTGTGGCATCGCACCATTGAGCAGTAAACATGAAAAGCAATCTGATGGCTGGGTGCAGTGACTCCCACCTGTAATGCCAGTACTTTCCGAGGCCAAGCTAAGTGGATCACCTGAGGTCAGAAGTTCGAGACCAGTCTGGCCAACATAGTGAAACCCTGTCTCTACTAAAAATATAAAAATGATCTGGGTGTGGTGGTAGGTGCCTGTAATACCAGCTACTCATGAGGCTGAGGCAGGAGAATTGCTTGAACCAGGAAGGTGGAGGCTGCACTGAACCAAGATTGTGATACTACACTCCAGCCTGGGTGACAGAGTGACTCCCTCTCAAAAAAAAAAAAAGCAATCTGTCTACCACTGGGTGGAAAACCTGCTGGAGTCATCAGTACCTTTGAAAACAGGGAGCTAGTCCAGCCATACATGCCACATGTGAAGAGCAGGAAGTCACTTACATCTCCCGGGCTCAGACCCAGGTCTCGGCACTGATAACGCCAGGAGTGCAGCAGGACCTGCCGTGGCATGGACAAGGCAGGACTTGAAGCCAGAGTGAGGGACAAATGAGGTCTGCCTGGTAGGGGCACAGGGCTGTTTCCAACCCAGGGCAGGGTTGGCCAGGAGGAGGGGAGGTCCTTACCAGGCAGTATGCTGGTAGGCCCCTAGCTGGGCTCTCTAATGCCCTCCCTGGGGCAGGTGGAAGGACATTCTAAGTAATGGGAGAATAAGAGCCCTGACTACTGCATTGATTTTGGGTGTCCTAGTCTCAAGGGTTCAGGTGGCACTGCCCACTCCTGTGGAAAGGCAGGGCACTGAGAACCCAAGGCAGCCAGCTGGTTCTTCTGCGCCCCCTGGTGACCAGTGCAGTGGGATGCATGCCCTCTGCTCCAGCAGGCGGGGGCCAGCGTGGATGAAGGAGTCCCTTCCCTCAAGCAGGAGCATCCCCTGGAAACCAGCACTGCTGCCTGCCTGGGCCCATTTGGACAGGGGCTTCAGAAGGCTAAAAAAAAACTGGTACCCAGGAAGCAAACAGCCCTTTGCAAACCTCCCTGTCCAGTAGACAGATGATCACTGCCCTCTCTAGCCCAGCCAGGGGACCCAGAGTTGTTGGTAGCTATTCCAAGGGCCCTCCTCCTCCCTGCCCCTGCAAATAGACATGCATCCATATACGTTTCTTAGTTAGGCAAAAAGAGAAAAATCTCATGAGAAGCATTAAGACACACATCTCTTCCCCTTTAGTAGTCTGAAATTGTACAGAAAGCATGGGGGGGGGGTGCAAATACATACCATTCTCTCCACTTCACTGCGCTGCACCCCTGCACAATCACAGAACACCCTCCCAGTCACCACCCAACTGCACCAGCTACTCAAACAAACCCTGGCCCTCGAGTGCCTTCTAATGGGGTTGGTACTGCTTTGCCAGCCCAGCAACAAATGACCATCAGAGATGTGGCTTAGGCCACCCTGTCCTTCCTTGTGCAGGCCACGGTTTTATCAGAGCACTGAGAACCCAGGGGCACTGTGGCAGGTGACCATAGGAGACCTGCCCCCGGAGAACTTGGGTCCACCATGGTAGGAAGAGCAGGGGTTCTGGAGTCGGACACTCCTAGGATCAGACCCCCCACTTGCTGTCTGCTTTCTCAGTACCCCTTAGCCCGTCTCCTACCTCCCCGGGACTGTCTCCTCTTGGGTGCACTGGAAAGCTCATGTGTGGCATCACCTCACAGGGTGAGGTGAAGACTCAATGAAGTACTACCTGGGCTCTACAGGTCTCTCCCCCAGGGTGTCCCTGCCCCTGTGCAAGCCAGCTTCTGCTGAATTATCCAGCCAGCTTTACCAAACCACCTGACTTTCCTTCCAGAAGACTCCAGGCAGAAAAACAGGGTTAAAGACCTACCCCTTCTGAGCTCTGTTTTCGACTGTCTAGTGCAGAAGCAAGCCCTCCGACAGCCTGTGGATCCTCATAGGTTACCCTGGAGAGGAAGCAGCAGAGGCAGAGTTAGTTTCCCCCCAGTGGCCATGGAGGGATGGGTCAGTGGCCTGTAATTGCCTCTATCCTATGGTACTTCCTCAGATGTCCTTGGAAAAACATTTCCTGAGACCTTGGCATTGAGCAGGGGCTAAGGGCTCATGCTGTCTCCCTGCATTAGAAGCTAGGAGACCTGGGTCCTACCTTGGCCTGAGCCACCAGTCTTCTCTGCGATCTCAGGTTTTGTGCACCTCAATATCCCTTTCTTGAGTAACAATACTGGGCATCCTGAAGCTCAGGGACAGTGTGTTCAAAGTGCCCTAATACTCCTCAGAGGGAAGACGAGATAAAGGCAAAGTAACATTAATTCTTATTTTATAAGCAGCAGCCTCAGTGGCATTTTACAGGGAAGGTGGTCTCTGGGACCCCGGACAGTCACTGACTATGGGAGGCCTTCCTCCACTCCCTGACTCCTTTAGCTGTATCTGTTTTACAAGCAACTTTTGCTGGTGAAGGGTACATGGGACCTTGGGTTTCTGGTCATCCTACCGAGTCCCATGCAGGGCTCAGGGTGCTGAGTGTATCCAGATGCTGGGTTACTGGGAAAGGTGGGAAAAAGTGTGTCTCACCTGCCTTTAGGCTAAACAGAAAGCTCAAAACATGTATAGTGCCTTCCTGAGATGTAGGGTATTATCTGTTTTGGAATAAGCTCCTTGAATTCCAGATGTCTTATCCTAGCCAGAGCTGCTATCAGAGGAGCCTCTGCCCTGACCACTTATTTTAGTCAGGACAATCTTGCTGGAAGGAAGGGGGTCACCCTGCAGGGCTACACCCTCCTGCTTCCAAGCTTCTCCTGTTGCTGGAAGATGAGGGGCCAGGTGGGGTGGTGTCTGCAGTGGCAGCAGCATGGGGAGGAAAGAGAAAAGCTGTCTCTTAGAGCTGACAGGAGAAATCACACTCCAGTCAAGGCAGGAGAGTGTGTGGGGGTGGTGGGTGGGCAGTTGGTGATTATTCAATATCTGCATCTAATGCCAAGTCCTTACAGCCATGCTTTAAAGTTCCTGGCAGTCCTGGACATGGTAAATAAAGGCCTTTTTGTGCTGGCCTGTGACCAGGCATGGGTCAATCCCCCCAATATCTTTAGAGAGCCACTAGAAGGGGCCCCACATACGTCTTACGCTGCTCAGCCAAGGAGTTTCCTCTCGTCTGGGAAAACATGTCAAAGCCGTCACGGGGGTTACATTGCTGGAGTGAACTGAGGGTGCCACTGACACTCTCTGTCCCCAAGTCTGTGGCAACAAAACAAATGGGTGGCAGATGAGAACAAAATGTGGATTGTAGATTTGATGGAGGGTCCCCAAATTAGGACACCAGCCAGATGAGTTTAGGTTCCACCGGGGTGGGGGGGACTTTCCTTGGTATTCCCAGTACACACATGCAGGAGGAGCCAGGGTGGGCCAGATAGGGGTCAGGACAGCCACTGCCCCCAAACTTCTAAAGGAGGGGCAAGAGTCCTAATGAAAGGGAAATTGCTGGGGTGACAAGGCAGGGACTGGCCCCAGTGCACCTGTAGCTTTTCCATAATGCCTTTCTCGGATGGGCTCCTCATTAACTCAGTCACAATGTCAAGGACCTGGGACACCTATTTATTCAGCAAATATTTCTGAGGCACCCAACATGCTCAGAGCTAGATCTTGAGTAGACCAAATAAAATCTGATATGGTTCTCGGCTTCAAGAAGTTCAGAGTAGGCAGGAGACAAGCCATAGCAGTGCTTGGCTTGAGATGTCAGGGAAGACTCAAAACCAACACAAGAGTGTGTCTGTAAAGATGAGTGGGAGGATGCTGGGGAGAAGGGGAAAGGCAGATACAAAGGCACAGGGTTCCGAGGCCAGGGCGTGTGAAGTGAAGTGAACAGTGCTCACAGGAAGAGATCTGTGGAGGAAGTGGCTGGTAATACCCTAAATGCCGGGCAAAGGAGTGGGTGGGAAGACACTAGACTTTTTTTTTTTTTTTGAGACAGAGTCTCACTCTGTGCCCAGGATGGCATGCAGTGGCTCGATCTTGGCTCACTGCAACCACCATCTCCCTGGTTCAAGTGATTCTCCTGCCTCAGCCTCCCGAGTAGCTGGGATTATAGGCACGTGCCACCACTATCAGCTGATTTTTGTATTTTTCATAGAGACAGGGTTTCATCATGTTGGCCAGGATGGTCTCAATCTCCTGACCCCATGATCCTCTCGCCTCCGCCTCCCTAAGTGCTTAGATTACAGGTGTGAGCCACTGTGCCCAGCAATTTTTTTTTTAAGAGACAGTCTTACTCTCTTGGTATAATTATGGCTCACTGCAGCCTTGACCTCCCAGGCTCAAGCAATCCCACCAACTCGGCCTCTCAAGTAGCTAGGACTACGGTGTGCACCACCATGCCTAGCCATTTTAAAATTATTTTGTACAGACAAGGTCTCGTTATGTTGCCCAGGCTGGTCTCAAACACCTGGCTTCACGTGATCTTCCCACCTCGGCCTCCCAAAGTGATGGGATTGCAGGTGTGAGCCACCACCCCAGTGGACACTACACCTTTTTTTTTTTTTTTTTTTTGAGACAGGGTCTCACTCTGGATGCCTAGGCTGGAGTGCAGCAACATGATCTCAGCTCACTGCAACTTGACCTCCTGGGCTCAGGAGATTCTCCTACCGCAGTCTCCTAAGTAGCTGGGACTACAGGTGTGTGCCACCACTCCCAGCAATTTGTTTGTATTTTTAGTAGAGACAAGGTTTTGCTATGTTGCTCAGGCTGGTCTTGAACTCCTGGACTCAAGCAATCCACCCGTCTTGGTTTCCCAGAGTGCTGGGATTACAGACGTGAGCCACCATGCCTGGCCTACTAGACTTTTTTTTAAGAAGGAGGGTAGCAGAATCCAATTTGAATTTTAAGTGTTAAATCTGGCAGTCATATATGCTGGACTGACTGACTGAAGGCAGAGACATCTGTTCTGATACAGAAATAGTGGCTACAAGTGTGTGAAATATTGAGAAGCTAGAATTACAGCAACTGATAGCCACTAGAAGTTTAGCTCGAGTTAAATGAAAGGAAGGCAGACAGAGAAATATTTTAAAAAATGAAACGGAAAAGCAAGACAGAAGAATTTTGAGGGCCATACTTATTAATGATTTCAATGTTATAATTTCATTTATTATAAATTGGTATCATCCATTATAACTAATGTACTAGGGTCAGATACACACTTTGAATGTACAAACTAAATGAACTGTGGAAAGTGGTGAGCTTCTTTTAAGTTCCAGACAATGGACTGCTTTAGGCTGATGGACAGTTCAGGGAGAAAGGAGAGCAATTATGTCAGTGCTGCTACCTCCTGTTTCTAAGCCTTCTGCAGATATTGCCAATCAATCACAGACTTCTAAGTCCTGATGTGGCTTCAGCATCCTCCTCAAACCTGTGTTCCAAGAAGCCAATGAGCTGAAACCTATCTGCCCTCCTTGACCAAGTTAACATTGATTTTTTTTTTTTTAGATGGAGTCATCGCCCAGGCTGGAGTGCAATGGTGTGATCTCAGCTCACTGCAACCCCTGCCTCCCACGTTTAGGCAATTCTCTTCCTTCAGCCTCCTGAGTAGCTGAGATTACAGGCGCCCACCACCATGTCTGGCTAATTTTTTTTGTATTCTTAGTAAAGACAGGGTTTCGCCATGTTGGCCAGGATGGTCTCAAACTCCTGACCTTAAGTGATCCACCCACCTTGGCCTCCTAAAGTTCTGGGATTATACCCCTGACCTTGACCTAATTAATACTGAAAAGGAAATCACTTCAATCACAGGGAATGTTCTATATAAAACATGGCAGGTAGGCCGGGCATGGTGGTTCATGTCTGTAATCCCAGCACTTTGGGAGGATCACGAGGTCAAGAGATTGAGACCATCCTGACCAACATGGTAAAACGCTCTCTCTACCAAAAAATATAAAAATTAGCTGGGCGTGGGGGCACATGACTGTAGTCCCAGCTACTCAGGAGGCTGAGGCAGGAGAACCGCTTGAACCCGGGAGGCGGAGATTGCAGTGAGCTGAGATTGCGCCACTGTACTCCAGCCTGGCGCCTGGCAACAGAGCAAGACTCTGTCTAAAAAAAAAAAAAAGGCAGGTGCCCTTTCTTTAAAAAGCAAATGACTTCTAATTCCTTGGAATTTCCCCTGTCCCTAGTGGTAGGTAGTAGGTAGGAAGGTCCTTTTGTCCCTGTGAGACACTCACCCAAGCCTGCAAGCTGGGAGGAGAGGGAAGATGGGGGTGCTGTGTTCCCCACCATCGGGCTCACCACGGCTGGAGACCCTGGTCCCAGGTCTATTAAGTTGTCTTCCGTCACTTCATTCAGTACCTGTCAGAACGTGAGATTGGTCATGAGCCCCAGAGCCCTAGAGTCAGGCTCTGAAGTAGAAGGTAGCAAGGCAACTGTGCAGAGTTCTGAGAGGAAAGGCATGAACGCTGCTCCAGTACTGAAGCAAGGCCACTTCCCCCACCCGCCTTCAGGGTCCATAGTGGGCCTCAATGTCAGTGAGCCTTGCCCACTGCCTCCTCTCTCTCCCCACTAAAAGAAGGGGTTGCTGAGTGATTCTCCTGGGAGCTGAAGATTTAGGGCTCCCTTGCCACCCTTCCATCAGGGGTGCCTGTAAGCTCTGCCCTAGTATCCTATCAGAGCTTGCTCTTCAATTTCTCAAATATTTCAACCCCAGTTAGAAAAATTGGAGGTCTCTCCAGCCTCCAAAATGTGGGGGGGCAGATCTGGCCCCAGGAGATAGGAGAATTCTGAAGGAATACTTACTCCATTACTGGCATTTTGAACCGATCGGCCAGACCTGTATCGTTCGAACCTAACGGGGAAAGGGGAAGAAGAAGTAAGAAGAAAGGACACCTGTGATCTGGCCCTGTGGAGTGCTCACTAGTCCTGTGAAGAGCCCCTGGAACCAAGACCAGCCGGTCCCACTTAGGGACTAGGGAGTGAAACCATACATCAACTCTGCCACAGCTTCCTCTGTGTGGGGTTCCACCTGAGGGGATCAGCCTGTCACCCAGCACCCTGAGTGGTCATCAGAAAAGGGTGGTGGCCCATCTTGAGGTCATTGTGAGTGTCCCCAGCCTCTCCTCACACACCCTGGACTCAGAGAGTTCCTCTTGTCCCTGGAGGGAGGGTGGCTTAGCCACTTTACCTTGGAGCTCTCAAATGTACAATGCTGGGCAGTAGCTGCAGATTCCTATTTCATAGGGCTATGTTGAAGAGCAACTAGCTAGTGTTCCTAACATGCTCCCAACTCAACCTCTGAGGAAAGGGGGCAGGGCATGCATAGGGTGGGCACCAGGAGGAGGAAGGCAGGCGCATGGCCCTGCTATGGCGGTGGTGGGGTGGTGGTGGAAATGCTTGCCAGTAGCTGCTGTGGAGAGGCCTGGGCCAATCACTGAAGGGCTGCTAGGAGGGTGAAACGAGTCTCCTCTGCACCCAGTCAGGCAGTGCAGGGGGACTTGGCTTTGAGCAACTGTCAAAGGCCAGGTCATCCTTCTCTCAGGTGGGGAACAGAAGAGTAGTTATGAAGTGTGTGTTGGTGTGGGACAGAATAGATTATGTTCCGTATAGTATTTTAAAACTCCAAATGCCACGGGCAGCAGTAATGAAGAGACTTTTTCCAGCTGGAGCCTTAGACACCCAGCTTTAGTGAGTTAAGGGGCTCCACATTTGTCTTCCAATTTGCGGGGGTCAGCGTCTGGTGACAAGGGATCCCCAGAAGGAATGATCTGGGTAGGTGGTGAGTGTCCACTTTGGTTTTAAGAAAGACTTGTATGTATCCTCAAGGTTTTGTGTACGGAAAAAAAAAAGAAAGAAAAGCCCGGGCGCAGTGGCTCAAGCCTGTAATCCCAGCACTTTGGGAGGCCGAGGCGGGTGGATCACGAGGTCAAGAGATCGAGACCATCCTGGTCAACATGGTGAAACCCCACCCCTACTAAAAATACAAAAAATTAGCTGGGCGTGGTGGCGCGTGCCTGTAATCCCAGCTACTCAGGAGGCTGAGGCAGGAGAATTGCCTGAACCCAGGAGGCGGAGGTTGTGGTGAGCCGAGATTGCGCCATTGTACTCCAGCCTGGGTAACAAGAGTGAAACTCCATCTCAAAAAAAAAAAAAAAAAAGAAAGAAAGAAAAGGTAAGAAAGACTTGTGTGGTTTTTTTCAGCAGTGGTCTACAAGGAGAACAGGAATATTAATACATCTGAGACAATTTTGATCCTGGGATATCTTTCCCACACTCATCTTCAATGAGCAATGAGTATCATCAAAGACACTCCAACCAGGACAGCACCTTCAGCCACCAGCCCCAGGCTTTGCCTCTGAATTCTTCACAATGCTGGGACTGCGGACTCTCGGGTGAAAATGCCCACACTAGTTAGCTCCTGTTATGCTTTCTAGCAGGGCTTAAACAGGTTTAACAGGTCAAACCCAAGCCCATTTACCATGAAGAACTGCAACCACATGGCAAGACAAAGGGGCCTAGGGCTGGGAGTCAAGTCCCCTCACATCTGTTCCTATTCTCCAACTGATGCAGGGGGAGCAGGGGGTCCTGGGGACCCCCACATACTTACCGCAGAGGCTTCTTCACCTGTCAGACAGGCACAGAGCCACTGGTGTGTACTTCCATAGTCAAAAGCTGAGACAAGGCCCAAGACCGTGACAACCACAACAAAGCACCCTTTAGGCCCCCAAAGAGTAATGCAAATGCAAGCATCTCTCCCACTGACCCTAACTGATGCCAGAAGCTTGTCCTCCTGATGAAGCCAGCAGTAGGCTGTGGGTCAGCTGGTATGGCAGAGGGGACCACGACCTCAAGTCTGCAGGGGATTCAAGCCACTGTCCTGTCCTCTCAGGCCTCACCTCTAAGGGAAAAGGTTGGTCCTCTCTGGTCCTGATGCTGAGTCCTTCGTGAAAGGCCAGTGTGCTCCCATCAGGTGATGAGATGGGAACTGTGCTTACCATTATTCCTCCTATTTAAAATTAGGTCTAAGTAAGACATTTTGGACTTTGTCCTGAGGAAAGGTTTTGGAAATGAAAAAGAATTTGCAGGTTTGTTACCTCAAACCCAAAGACGATGTGGCTGCAGAAAGAAATGAAATGAATGTGCGCTTCCCTAAGCAGCAGCTTTCCGGCACTTACACCCGCCTGCTTCCCCTGAATGCTCTAGATAACACTGACATTTGCAGAGGGAAAAGCTTTTTTTTTTTAAGATGGGAAAGAGGAAATCCTTTTTCTTAATAGAGATTTTTCTTCCCCTTTAATCCTTTTCAAATTCAAAGGGTCATCAAAGGAGCAGGTGCAGAACTCTTGGGCCCAGAGCCCCCCAAGTCCTACCCCTCCCTAGGGCTGGGGGTGGCGGGGCAGTGAGGAAAGGCAGAGCAGCCTGAGGCTTACAAAGGGCAGAGCCTAATTCTGCACGTCAACTTCTTGCTGCTTCTGCTGCACGATTCCCAGGAGGACAAGATGCATTTTCCCTGTCAGACGGGAACAAATTAGCATCTCTGATGAGTATTTTCCAACTCTAATCTCTCTCTCTCTCCCTCTCTTTCCTTTGTTTATGAAAGAAATCCCTCTGTTATGGCAACAATCTTTTTAAGGGGGGAAAAAAAAATCCAGCTCCCACCTCTCATATCGAAGGAAAACGTTGTTGAGGTCGTCGTTCACATGCAGCAGCTCCTCTGTGACCTCCTCGTTGGACACGCGGGAGATGAGCTCCACGATGCGCTGCTGCATGGCCCGGCAGGTCCTGTTCAGCTCCTAGGGAACACATGCACCTCTGGGTAGCCTGCTGGGTGTGCTTTTTGTCACATTCTATTTCCTTTGAAAAAATTTGTACTGATTCTTAAAAGTCACAAAAGGAGTACATGCTTGTTCATAAAACCAGACATGTGCCACATTCAAAGCAGAATTCCCGTCTTCACCGCCTGCTCCTTCTTCCCAGAGGAAACAAGTACTTTTTCAGCCAACGCCCAGACTGACATACTGCTCTATGTATGTAAGTACATGCTTATACAAGTCATTTAAAAATATTAAAATGTGATTCTTTGCAGCTTGCTTTTTCTCAACAAAATATTCCAGACACTGTTCCCCATTACTTGGTGCAGACTGGCTCATTCCTTCGTGTGTGTTTCATAATGTGGGCATTTAGCTTGTGGTTCCTCTTTCTTTGGCCAACCCAAATAAGGCAGCAATGAACACCTGTACACACATGCACATGCACTTGGGCAAGACTTCCACAGGATGAGTTCCTTAGAAAGGAAATTTCCAGGTGAAAGGGTATGGCTGTTTATAACATTAATTGGTAACAGTAAAAGGCCCTCCAAAAAGATGACATCGGTTTACTTACACTCTCAGCAACAGCAGGAGTATATTTTGTCACTAGGTGTATTTTGGTGGCTTGTCTGCCACTTTGGTGAGGTCTCAGAAGCCCAGGCAGCTCCCTGGCTGGCCAAAAGAGTACATTCATACAACCCCAGTTGCAGTGGAACCATCTCTACCGTTAGAAGCAAAATCCCCCTGATGAAAGAGCCTTGGCACTTTAAGGCCTGGCTTCCATGAGCCTTCCCTGTTCCAGAACAGCAGCAGCCTTACTGATGCTCTTGTTCAAACTTGCTTATAGAGCTCCCTCAATACCTGCCAGACCCCTTGTCATCTCAATGCCAGACTGAGGATGCAACAGAGGAGGGAGCTGGCAACCCTGCCAGGCTGGCCCCCAAGCATCCCTGACTATAGGAGCTGCCTGTGACCAAAGCTCCAAGTCCTAGTGCACATACAGGATTAAAGCAGAGGGAGATAGTATCCCCAGCTACCTGGGCACCAGAGGGCGCCAGTGAGTTAAGGGGATAAGACACGAAGGATAAGTCCCTCCTCACAGCTCAGCCTCAAAACAACTTCATTTTGAAACCATTTCTAGTAGAAGTAACTGATTTATTCACAAGAGACATGGCAATCTTTCTTTAGTTCCTCATATTGTCTCATAATCTGGCTAGCTTGGCTAGAGGGTCATCCTTCCTACCACATCATAAACTCTTGAGGGGGTGTTGCCATTTAACCATCCAAGGATGCCCTCAAGCCTGGGCAGCAGAGTGAGACCCTGTCTCCAAAAAATAAAAAATAAAAATAAAGTATTCTGAACTCTTGGTCCCCTCAAACCACCAGCTCAGTTATCCACATACGCTCAGTCTTCTCGGCACTCTTCACTCAGAGTGGGGAATTCTCGTTCATTCAGGTTCTAATTTTCCCTCTCTAGGACTCATTCCAGGCCCCACTGAACCAGCAGTAAGCACTTAGAAACATATAGATAAATGCTAGAATCAATAAGAAGAGGTGAATACTGGATCTTAATTCCAGAGGACACTAATATCCAGTAAAGAGAAAACTCCACAAAATGCCCACTGTCTTCCGTTGTGAATGGCTCACGTCCCCAGGCCAGGCAGGAGAGGGACACTCACGAAGCTGCCTGGGCCTCGGAGCCTGCCAGATCTGGTCTGGATTGCCAGGCAATAATGGCCACAGGCACCGATGGACACTCACAGGTCAAAACCCAGTCACCACCGGGACAATTACCATACACAGGAAAACCGATAATTCAGGGGAAACACCAATCACAGAATGAAGTGTGCTTAGGAGTGATGCTGAAAACCAAGTCAGGCCTCTAACATTAAAACAAACAAAAACAAAATAAAAACATCCACACTTAGGAAAGAAGCAATCACACTGGATCATGTGAAGGATTCCAACAGCCAGGACTAAAGTGAACAATGTAAAATAATCACAGTATTTCTAATAGATTGTTAGAATGCAGTGAGCATCTGTTCAGGGCTGACAGGGAGCACAGATTTAGGTTAACTTCAACAGACCATCCTCCCCTGCTTCCTAAAGGAAAAAAGGCTACTTGGCCAACACTTGGGCAGCATATTTATCTCGCACATTGGAAGAAGCACAAGAGGGAGACCCGGCTAAAGAGTGCATGATGGAAAAGGGAGGCTGGGGAGTAGGACAGAGAAAAGAGGTCAAACTTCTGCCTCTCCGTGCTGCCATAGACTGTTCCGGGCCACTGTGCATGTCTCCTCCCCAGGGATGCGCATGTGCCAGCACACAAGGATGGAGCCAGGCACTGCTGAGCTCCTCCTTGCTCCAGCACTCCAGGTGTCTGCAGAAAATCTCTGATGAGCAAAAGGATCTTGAGGCCCATCTCAGGACCTATCTCCTCCAGCAAACAGGCCCAGTTCAAGAAAATGTGGCCCCTGTCTGGGGCTTGTGGCTTAGCAGCAAGTGCTGGCTGCCCTTGGTTGGGGAGGGAGAAGGAAAAAAGTTTGTCACTTCCCATCCAAGCTGCAGGCCAATCACAAGGCACGGGACCTGCAAGCCAGAAGAGTGTGGGAGCATGCTGTGGAAACAGATCCAAGTTACCCTCCAGAAGACTGGGGCATGAGCACCTAAGGCCCACAGGCCATCTTCAAACACACCTCAGACTTCCCAGGATATAGGTGTCCTCAGGCACTTGCCACACTGCTCAAGGGCTCCTGAGTAGTTGACCCTCTGCCTGCAATGTCCCTTATTTCCTTTTCCATTGAACAAACTCATACTCATCCTTCAAGGCCTCAAGGTGTTTCCCCACCCCAGTATTTTGTCATAAAAATTTTCAAACATATAAGAAAACTAGGAAGAATTTTACAGTGGACAGACACCATATGCTTACCACCTAGATTGTACCATGAACATTTTACAGTGGCAGCTTTAACACATATTTCCCATTTATTCATCTTCCTGTCCACATAGTGTTTTCTGGGGATCCCCCTCCACCCCACCCTCAATACTCTCACAGCATTCAACACACTCTAGTCTGTCATCAGAGCCCCTCTAGGAAACCCTCCAGCAAGGGGTGACCAGCCGCCACCTGCACTCCACACAGCAGAAACCCCAAAACAAAGAGCAGGCCTTAAGGGTGGTTCACTGGACTCAGAGGAGAAGCAAACCAGATTCTTCAGTAGACTGCAGGAAATGTCTCAGAAAGATGGCTACAAATACTGGAGGCCTGAAAGAAGAGAGCGGGGGTTGATATCAGTCTCCCCAACAGAGCCCTAGTGTGGGGACCAAGCTGCAGGCAGCAAATAGCTGTGACTGGATACACTCTCCAAGTCTCCAGTCTTCTCCAGGACTGCTTCTCCCTGTGTAAAATAAGGGGGTTGCATTTGTGAGAAAGTACTTCTGCAGAGGGCCACTGACGTGCTACAGTGTACAGTGGCCTCCATGGCATGGGGCTGAGGCAGCTGGGGCTGCTCTGCTTTTCTCAATTTTAAACACTTCCATTCACTGTAGAATTTCATTTGTGGAGGAAAACGTTCCATTATTGGTTGATTGATTGATTGAGATGGAATCTTGCTTTGTCGCCTAGGCTTGAGTGCATTGGTGTGATCTCAGCTCACTGCAATCTTCACCTCCCAGGTTCAAGAGATTCTCCTGCCTCAGCCTCCCAAGTAGTTAAGATTACAGGCACCCACCATCATGCCTAGCTAATTTTTGTATTTTTAGTAGAGATGGGGTTTTGCCATGTTGGTCAGGCCAGTCTTGAACTCCTGACCTCAAGTGATCACCTGTCTTGGCCTCCCAAAGTGCTGGGATTACAGGTGTAAGTCACTGTGCTTGGCCTCCATTACTTTAAAAAACAGTTTGGAAGGTGTTAGATGATTTCTGAAGCTCTAACATTGTGACCTTGGCTTGAAGGAAGAATGAGCCCCAAGGGGTTCATCAACAGTGATCTCATCAACAGTCAGCACCAAGAACATCTGCTCTGGCCTTGTGTTTGCTACCTCTTTCCCCACAGCCTACCCACTGGGGTGGTGGGTTAGATAGCTCCCAACCCCACAGGCAGGGCCTCCACGCTGCAATCCTCAAGGAACATCCTGATGACTTTCCAAAGAGCTCCCCTGAAGACAGCCTCAGAGATGATGGCCTGGGGCCTCCACAACAGAGATTTCCAGGGATCTCTGCACAGAGAAAACTTTACCATCTCTTGGCTTCAGTCTTTTACATCTGTCTCAAAAAGGAAGAAAACACTGTGCAGTGGCTCACACCTGTAATCTCAGCACTTTGGGAGGCCGAAGCAGATGGATCACCTGAGGTCAGGAGTTCAAGACCAGCTTGGCCAACATGGTGAAACCTGCCTCTACAAAAATACAAAAATTAGCCAGACAGGATGGCAAGTGCCTATAATCCTGGTTAATCGGGAGGCTGAGGCAGGAGAATCACTTGAACCTGGGAAGCAGAGGTTGCAGTGAACAGAGATCATGGCATTATGCTCCAGCCTGAGTGACAAAGCGAGACTCCTTCTCAAAAAAAAAAAAAAAGAGATAGAAGGTGAGAGGAGGGCCAGATGTCAGGATTTTTGTTACCACAGTGCCAGCTGGCTCCCTGCATGGCCTCTGTGGTGTCATCACAGCCAGATCCTCAGCAGGCTCATGTGGGAGATGTTCTCCTGCTTCCTCCACCTCCAAATCACTCAGAGTGATTCTTATTGGGCCTAAGACACCTGAGAGCCTAATGCTTACTCAGGTCACCCTTTCCATGTGCAACAGCTAGGACAGGAGATTCCTAAAGGCTCACGACGTCAGCTTTGCTCTTCTTGTATTTCTGGTCCTCAAAAGAGGGAAGAACAACTGGTCACTTACACAAAAGCCCTCCATCTATCAGAACACCTTGGTAAATATCCTCTCTTTTCTACCTAATTAATCTCAATGCCTTTATCTTTTCTTCAAGGGAAATTCTCATCCCTACCTCACACAACAGTCTTTTAATCATCTTTATGAGTTTCCTCTGAGCCCTCCACAAGTTTGAAGGAACATGGAATAAGGTCCTGAAGATCTGTTTTCTGTTGCTGCAAAGACGGGAGGGAGAAGAAAGTCTTTGTTGATGAGAAAGGGGAATAATGAAGCTAAACACGTAGAATAGACTAGATTTCTCTAGAGAAAATGGCCTTGGCCGTTCTGTTTTTGTTGAAATGAGATGCAAGAAGCAAGAAGAGATACACCATCTGCTACTTGGAGAAACAAGGAGGAGGCCTCTGTTATTGTCTGATGCTGATGAATGGCCACAGAAGAATATATATTTTTGGCATCATTGTATTAATTAAAAGTTATTCATTGAAGACAAAGCTCAAAAGGCTAAATTGGGAGAGACAATGGGCACTGGTTGACAGAATCACAATCTTTAAAGATCCCAGAAAGCTGAACTCAGGCTTTCTGCAGCTAAGGGCATGCACTTTAGCAGGGACAGATGCAGCATTTGAATTTCGGCCCAGGCCTAAGGGTCCTTGCATAGGATGATGAAGATAGGCTTAACTGCCACACTAGAAGGTGACATAGAAGGGTTTTCAGCTGATGAAAGCTCTCCATCTTACAATATCTGCCTCCTGTGAAGAACTGCCTGTCCCTCTCCATGGTGGGCTGCCAACTGCCACATTTGTTCCATGTGGAGAATAGGCAGTGGGTGGGGCTTATGGCAATCTTCAAATGCTTAAGGATCTATCCATGTGAAAGAAGAATTAGCCTTGTTCTGTTGTCTAAGAAGACAGACCAGGATCAAAGTTACAGGGAGCCAGACTTTAGATCAATGTGTGAAAGGGCTTTCTAACAATAGTCATAAAAGCCAGGATTTATGAGGCCTTGCCTAAGCCCAGCCCTGTACCAGGCACTGCCCAGGTGCAAGTGATTACTCCAGTTAGAAAGGAGAAGGGGGCCTGGAGAGGGCTGGTGACTTGCCTGGCATCACCCAGCTATCAGTGGGAGGACAAGGATGGGAAGGCATTAATTCAAAGGCCTGTGTAATTTGTAAGCCTGCTGTGCTGCTGCCTGAAGTCTAACCAAGATGTCCATTTGAAAGCAAGTGGGCTGCTATGAACAGCCTGTCACTGGGGACGTGCAGAAAGAACCAGTAGACAAGATGCTGTGGAAGATATCTGAACACAGGTGTAGAGCTGGACCAGCTTCCTGGAATCTCTCCCCCAACTCAGAGAGTGGAGGTTTTGACACAGCTCTAGAGGAGGAGTTGCTGTGTTCACTCTGGGCACCCTGCCTTCCTTCTTCTCAGGGGCTCCAGCTACGCTGTCAGCACAGGGTGGTAGAGTGGCCTCAGCCTCTCCTCAAATACCAGCCACATGCCACAAGCCCACAGGCAAACAGCTCACACTGCCAAGTTTCCCTGCTGCTCTTGCTGCACTGTGGGAAGCTATACCCAAAAGTGCTTTGTGATGCACAGGAGGCAACTGGGACATAACCTTCCCACAGTTATGATCATCCTGGGGCTGACACCACCAATTACCTCTCTTCCTATTCCCTGCACCTCCTACCCCAGCAATTTATACTTGAACTGGGAGCAGCTTCTATTGGTGGGAACATCTGGGTTGTTCGTTTCCATGGCCCAGCCAGCACTCTCAGCTCTGCACTTCTCTGCCCCAAGCACTCTGGCTGCCCTCCAGCTTGATGGAGGGTCCTGGGGACACATTCTGATCCCAGCACTTTCCAAGCAGACGGTGGTATTTCTCCACATGGAAGGCTGGTGGTTCAGTGTGGCTCTGACCCTTGGGAGACCCTGCCTGCTGGCTTCTGACTGCCAAGGGAGGAAGGGCAGGGAAGATGTCAGGGATGGCAGAGGCATGCAGCCAACCAGCCAGGAGGGCTGTGTCTATTCATGATTGTTCACAGTGCTGCCCAGTTCCTGAATCTCCTATACTAGAAGGACAGCCTCCCACTGGCACCCAGAGTCATTCTTTTTCTGTTTGATTTATAAGATAGCAGTGAGGACTGGGAGGCTTAGAGTTAGAACAAAACAGAGGGAAAGAAAATGTCATGGGAAGTAACCTATAAGCTGACGCCAGGAGATTAGGTTCTGTTTGTCTTGGCTGATGGGCTTGTTTTAAAAAAAAAAAAACACACACACAAAAAAAACCCCAAACCCTCTTCTCCCCACAATGCGAGAAGTATTCCTGCTGTCTGGGTCTGCTCTAGCTGTCTGGAAACATCTTGGCTTTGTTTCACACACCCCCTGCTGCCAGGAGCGCGGCTCTATCCAGAGCAAATCCCCCATGTCAGCAGGAATTCCGACGCTGACACAGCACAAAGCTGCCTCAAGAGGCCCTCTCAGTTTCTGGACTGACCTCGGAATCCTGTGCATCTGGGTAACACCGGGCAGAACCTTCCTGCACGCTGGGAATGGAGGCCAATGACAATGCATTCAAGGGAAGCCAGGTCCCCTGGAGTGTGGCACATATTCAGCTGGACCTGCTGAGCTGAGGCCAGCCTGGTCTGATGCAGGTGTGTCAGGAGTGAGGTCTAGGAACTAGGGAGAGGCCAGTCAGGGCTCCTCACTGGGGCTGGGCCAAGGGTACTTGTCTTGGGTTCAAGAGCAGGCTGGTGTAGTTACATAGAGACAAGATATTTCCCAGTCTGTTTCCTGCAAAAAGCCACAAGCTCCTCCAGAGCAGGGACCACAGCTCACACATCTCTGTGCCCAAAGCACTGTGCTCTGTATTAGGCCTAGAATAGCTCTTCACCCACCCTCACCTCTATAAGAGCTAATGGCTTTGGAGTAGGAAGGGGGCACAATAAGCAGCAGCTTGGGGCCAGGACAGGACCTCCACAGGTGGGAAGCATGTGCCAGCAGCAGGGTAGGAGGTGCAGCACTTGGGGACCAAGACTGACAACTGAGGGCCGGACAAAAATGACAGTATCAGCAGCAGCAGCAGCAGCAGGTACATCATAAGACACTCATGCCAGGTCACCAAGTCAGTCTGGCTCCTGACCTGCTCCCTCAAGCATCTTGCCTCCTGTTGAAAAGTGTGGGGGCCCTTGCAGTTCACAGCATCCTCTTTTCACCCTCCAGAAGGTCACTACTTCTCAGGGCAGTACCACTGACATTTTCTGCAAATGCGAGGGTCATCTGAGGCTGGGTGTGGTGGAGATCCGAGCACTGGCTCTGGACCTGGCTGCCCTGGAAAACAGGCCTGAGGTGGAGGCCTTGGCCTTGGTCTCGGGGGTAGACTGCAGGATGCCTGCTCCTGGACCCCTTTCTGCCATGCCCCCAGATCTGTGGGGTGTCCAGAGGCGGGGAGGCCAGTTTGCAATGGCAAACCACGATATCAGAAACACCCAGCCTGGGAATCCTCAATGTCAGGGAAAGAAGAGGAGCATCACACTTCATCTGTCTCAGGACACCTTGGGGTAAGGTGCCACTAGAAGGGCTCCTATGCACACTCGAGGTTGAATAGGCCCTCCTGCAGACGTGATGCTGAGGAACCAAAACACAAAACAGTACAAGCCCAGCTACGTTTAAAATAAACATACAAAAAGTCAGAAGGAAAATACATCAAAACACCTACAGTGGTTATTTATGGATGCTTGGGTCAATCTGTACTTTCTTTTTCTTTCTGTGGGCATGTCTTCTACAACTGGCACTTTATAATAAGGAAAAAAATGTTATTAAGGAAAATAAAAAAGAGAGACAGTGGCCCTGGCCTCTGCCTGTCTGTAGGCAAGGTGAGTCTGAGTGTGCGCTCACATGAACCATCAACAACAGGGCCACTGGACCCATCCCCCCTCACCACTGTGTCCCTGGGAGGGATCCTGCGACTGCGTACAGTGGTGGAGCTGCCACAGCAGGCCCCTGCTCCACGCTCAGGCCAAGTGTTTCTGCAAGATGACTCACCTGCAGCAGCTCCAGATCAGATGAATCCTCCTGTCCGGGGACCATTTCTGTTAACATCTCAGACATGACTTTCGTGTTTCCACGAACGACGTCCAGTTCACTCCGCAGCCTGGCAATCTGGTGAGGGCCACAAGGAAGGAAAGGTCACTCAGAGTCAGCCTGCACCTGCAATATCAGAAGCAGCTTGTTCCTAGGCTAGTGACAATCCCTCTCACTGGGAGATCTGGGTCACCCTTCTGAGTGCACACTGCAGAGCCACCTTCTCATCTCCTTCCGGCCTGCCTGTCAGCTCTGAGAGAGCGGAATGGGCCCTGCCACCCAACAATCTGTTGTGGTGCCTCTCTGACTGCGACGCAAAAGCAGTACCAGGTAGCGAAGAGCTCCATGTCAGAGTGCACCAAGCTGGCTCTCTGTCTCCACTCTCCCTCCACAGGAACTTGAGTAGAAGCTGAACCTCTCACGGCCTCCATTCCTGCTCTTTAAAATCCAAATTCAGGAGGGCAGGAGCCCTGAGATCCCTTCAGAGTTGAGATCCTATTCTACGAAGCTCTGAGTTACAGACTCTGCCCCAAGGAATTTTACATGTAATACTACAATCCTCTGAGAGGCTGGGCAGTGTCAGCAGCACCTTTCTGCAGTGGCAAGAATGAGAGAAGAACAAAAGACCACAGGGGAGACATCTTCCACCCCCACCTCCCTACTTGGTACCACAGCCCCTTGAAAAATACCCACGCTGCCCATCCATCAGTGCTCCCAAAGCCTGGACTCGGGCCAAAGTCTGAGGCTCCTCTCCAGCAACAGACATCGTATACCTTCTCCCCTTGCCCCTTCACACCCTCAACCCCCTTGAAGCATCTGCAGAGACCACAGGTCCTTCCTTGCCCACAGTGAGGTATCATAGAAGAATCTGCATAGAAGCGCCTACTGGTCCCATCACTCAGTGACAAGAGACTAATTCACACTGGACAGAAGTCAAGAACTGCACAGGACACTGGAGGGAGCCCTGGAGGACTCAGCAGTAACATCCACAGCTGGACCTGAGCCTCTCTGAGCCTTAGTTTCCTCACCTACAGAAAGGTGGCACTAACACCACACCTCACCAGGCTGCTGTGAGGTTCCCATGTGGCGCCCGGCATGCAGGTACGCTCTCTACACACATATGGCTCTTGTTCCTGCTCAAATGTCCAGAGAGAGTAGCTGTAATGTTGTTCTTCCTGCACTGTGACCCAGCCCAAGTGACAGCTCCTCTCCTCAGTGAAGCCTTTTCTGACTCTCCCTGCCCCATCCTGAGGTAGAAACAACCGCTCCCACCTCCTCCTCCAGGGTCCCACTGGCTGTGCTGCCTTCCACTATTGCAGCTGTAGCAGCCTCTGCTGTAGGGGTGAGCTCTCTTAGCAGACCCCGAGCTCCTTCGGGCAGGAACTCAGCTGGGTTGAGCTTTATACCCTCAGCACAGAGACAGGGAAAAGAGACCTCAATCAGTAGTCAATTAGGGAGATGGTCTGCATCCCAGGAGGCTCTTGTCAGCCTCTGGCTCTGCCTGGTGGATGATCCAGGGGTTTTCTTCAAAGTCTTGGTAAAAGAGGTTTCTGGCTAGGAAGGCCCAGGAAGGTTATGAGTAGCCACCTCGTGGGCTCTGAAGCTCTGGGTCCTCTTGGCCAGGCTGGGTGCTGAGCTGCCTATCTCTGCTTGCATTCTGCTCCCCCAGCAGCAACAGACCTCAGGGATCCTGTGCTACCTGTGCCCAGAACCTCCAGACCCAGCATATTCTGGCTACTAGGAGGGCCTTCCCAAGCACCTCTCACAATGTGAGTCAGTGAAGAGGCTCAGGAACTGTTCAACTTCAAACATTTTATGCCTTCTCTCAGAGCAGAGAGGACAAAGTTCTGCCCATAGGAGCGGGGGCTCACATCAGGCTTGGGGGGCTTCAAGTTCACTCCTACTTCCACCATACTCCCTGCTCAGAGCTAGCAGGGAAGCAAGAGGAACGAGACAAAGCACTGTCCCAACACACACAGTGCTTGACCCGTCTGCTTCAATGTGGTTCCATAGTCATGACATTGTCGCAAATAGTAAATAAGGATTATTAAATATAAACATTGGAGAGGTTTTTTTTCCCAAGTCTGACCAATTCTCAAATTGTAACTAATTGAAATTCTATGGATTCTTCTAAAGAGCACTCCCAAATTCATCTAAAAAAATCCAGCGTGGGGTTAAAACTGCATTAGCTTATCAGGAAGTAACCCAAGAAGGTAGGAGCGTTTGGCGTTTGGGATAAAAGCAGGCTTCTTGTGCTTCAGGAGGACCTCCCTGATCAGGTCACATGCCTCTGATGGCTGCCATTTTTTACAGGATAGATCTAAGCCTCTATGTGACAGACAAGCCCACTTCTATGCTTTTGGCCTCACTTTCTGCCATGGTTTCCTCCCAGATCTGGGCCCTACATATACGCTTGCTCTCCTATCAAGCCACCTGCTGCTCCAAGAGAGCCCTGCGCCTCTGCACCTCTGCCTTGCAATGTCACTGCTGAGCACGTGGTCTCACCTGACAAAGCCCCACTCCTGTGTCAGGACCCTCAGCATGTCAGGTCCCCAGTACCTGCCAGGCACCACTCAACCCTAGGCTCAAAACTCCGAGCCCTTGGTTCTGCTCCCCGCCAACAAGATTCAGGCCTGAACACACTCCATCATGATTGCCTCAGCATCTGTCTCCCCTGGGGACTAAGCCCTTCCATCTTTGTGTCCCTGACACCCAGCACAATGTCTGGCTTGGGGGGCCTTTGAAAGTGTCTCCTGGAAAGATGAATAAGAATAGTCAGCTGGCTTGCCTATGGCCCCACAGGATTCAAGTACCTGTTCTGAACTGGCTGTGATGGGGCCAGTCACACTCAGAGCCGGGGCCTGCGGTGCAGAGTAGGGAGCAGGAGGTGGCGAGGAATAGGAACCAGCACTTGTCCTCTGCTGTGACTGGGACCTGGGCATGGTCGCGGCTGGATCCACTTCAGGGACGCTCTGGCACGACAACAACAAAGTCCTCTGTTTTGGGCTACCTGCACAGCTGGGCCTGGTACCTACCCCACCCCATGCGGCACTTCTCCAGAGCTGCCTGCAGAAGGCTCAAGGCTCTGCTCCACTGCTGCCCGGGTGAGGCTCACGGAGCCCCGTTAAGCCCAGGCTCTCCATCTGGGAAGTAGGGCTGCCATTGTCTCCTCCCTCTACTTACCTCTCAAGGAGTGTGTGGCAGACAATGAAAGCAACTCCAGCCGGGCGTGGTGGCTCATGCCAGTAATCCCAGCACTTTGGGAGGCTGAGGTGGGTGGATCACAAGGTCAAGAGTTCAAGACCAGCCTGACAAAAATGGTGAAACTCTCTGTCTCGACTAAAAATACAAAAATTAGCATAGTGGCACATGCCTGTAATCCCAGCTACTCAGGAGGCTGAGGCAGGAGAATCACTTGAACCCAGGAGGTGGAAGTTGCAGGGAGCCGAGATCGGGCTGCTGCACTCCAGCCTGGGCAACAGAGCAAGACTCCATCTCAAAAAAAAAAAAAAAAAAGAAAGAAAGAAAGCAACTCCAAAAGGCAGCACCAAGAGTGCTCTGTGAGCCCTCTGGTAATGGTTCCTACTGTGAAGACCACCTCAGGATGGAGTGAAGGGAGGGCGGTTATTCAGTTTTGCTAATCACAAATCTTTACTTGGTACCATAAGAACTACTTTTTCAGCCTTTACAAGGAGACTAATATAAATAGTAATTATGCAATTTACCAAATGTTTTCATAATTATAGGAACAACAACACTGCTCTCTGTCATTACTAGAAGAGTGAAACAGGTTATGTTGATTTCACAAAGCACAGTGCATGGTCTGGAGGGATCATGATGAGAACAGGCTCTGGAAAGGGCAGTCCCTCATGCTCGCCCTTTGGGCATCTCAGATGATCTCTTGCACATTAAGTCGTGTTCCTACAAGAGACATGCACAGGTGTGCTATTCTCAGAGATGGGCAATGGGGGCAGGCAAGGTGACGTGTACTGGGATGAAGTGCCTCTCCCAGACCCTGGCGCTTTCCTGGCTCTCCCCCAGGCTAGGAGCGAAGCTGATTCCCAGCCAGTAGAGGGACTGGCTTCCATGCGAAGCTATGAGTGGCATGACCTACATGCTTTTAACCCTGATGTGCTGGGCTGCCCCCTCCATGGTGCTCGAAGCTGCCCCCTCCATGGTGCTCAAAGCTGTTGGACTGCAAAAGCTTTGGTGGGATGCCCCTAAAAGGACCTTCCCAGGGCTTTGATCCTAAGGCTGGTGGAATGCAAGGATGTCTGGATTGATGCTGAATGCTCATAGCTCAAAATAAATTTTAGATCCATTTGACTGGGTACAATTGAAAAAAACAGAAAGCTCCTTTTCGCCCCAAGAGTGACGTCAAGCTCTCTGTATGCTCTGAGGTGCTATGGTGCTCTGAGGGACAACAGGATTCCCACGTCAGATTCTAGGGGCCTCTGAAAAGCAGGTGCTAATGACCCTCACAGGATGGACCCGCCTAAGTAGCCACTTCCATGAAAACTCAGAACTGATCCCTCTATTATATTCTTCCACAGACACTGCTGCCACTTAATCACCAATCAACCAGCTGTCTCACTCCTGCATGCCCCTTGTTATTAAAAAGGAATGCCCCCGAGCTTTAAGAAAGCATGATGACAAGCTGAATAATTCAAAGGCAGTAGCAGAAGGGTGGTTGTAGCAGCTTGGCTCACCCATTCTGCAGTAGGTCTTTCTAGAAAGCACCAGCTGGAAGCTTACCCGCTGTGGTGTGTGTATGGGAGACAGAGCATCCAAGTCTGCCATGGGAAATTCAACCCCTTTCCTCTTCAGCTCCTCGTATATGTGCACAACACCAGTGAGGTCAGGACTGCTTCGAAAGGCGTCAGCCCATGCCTGGGAGAATAGAAGGCCTGTTAGGAAGCATTTCTCAAGAGCTGCCGTGGTACCTGAAAATCCAAAGTGGCCCACGTCCTCTCCCTGAGACCAATGCTCTCCTACTTGCAAATGCAAATTGCACTGGCTCAACCTATTCTGTTCCTCTCCTCCTGCAACCGCTGCCACGACACAGCTGGCGAAACCCTGGCTTTCAGTGGTGCTGCTGAGCGTGAACAAAAACACAAAACTTAATTTAGCATGTATTTCCTTGGAGAAGAGACAGAGAAATAACACCTATGCACTGTGGTGCATCCTAAAAAGCAGGCATTTCCCTAATGGCAAGGAAATCAATTGCTGGGGCTGTTTAGCTGCAGGGAGTGGAAGGTGCAGCCTTGTCCCCTCAGTAGGATGCCTGCCCTCTGTGCAGGAACACCTCTGCCCTGAGAGCTTCTACTGGTGGAGTTGGGAACAGGCGACAAATAGAGCAGAAAGGAAAGGAGAAATTGATGTGTGACATGAAATAAAGGCTAACTACAGGTTTCCTCAGATCAGAGACAACTAATGCCGAGCTTGTCTAGCCTAGCTCTGTCTAGTGCTGCTGCCGGTAGGGGAGATTACTGTGGCTCAAGGGAAGAAGAGCCCATTGGGAGCCAGACCCAGGCCAGACTGGGGAGCTCACCCCAAGGGGTTCGACTTCCAGACCCAAGCTTCTTCCATGATGTCTGCGGCCGAAAATGTCGACACATGTGTGCCCAGTTGAAAAATCCAATGAAAAGCATGATCACTAGATTCCCTTCAGTGAAAACACACCACAGACAGGAAAGAACAAAAATTCAAGTAGATTATCATTTCTGTTGACTCGTGAAACTTAAAATTTTTTTAAAAAATCTGTTCTTTGGAAGTTTCAGACTGTATCAAAAAAAGAATATCCAAAGGGCTCCCTAGAAATGGCCCTTCCCATGCTGTCCATTCACCATACATACCCAGAGGAGGCAGAGCCTCCTGTGCCCATGACTCTGTTGCCAAGTCTGTCATTGTCACAGCATTTAACTGCCTCCTCACTCCAGCAATGAGTTACAACCAATCCCGAGGCAGCCACAGAAACTCTATCTCTAACCAACAGACCCATTAGAAGTTAAAAGGTCAGTTTCCAAAAAGTCTTCTTAATTATGACCGAGGTGTTTCACTTACAGAACAGTACTGTCAGCCTGGCTTTCCCTGACACACTTATTTAATTTGCATGCTCAGGGATTTAAAGCTACTGATCAGGACAGCCCCTCTTGGCCAATACTTCCTTCTGGATTCTGAGGAGGGCCAAAGAAGGTGCCTCATAGAGCACTGTCTGGAAGGCCCAGATGGAGAGTATGTTGCCCCCAGGGAGTGCCTCCAGCCCCGCCCCCACCAGCTGCCCTGGCTGCCTCCACCTGGTTCAAAATCCAGCTAAGTCCTGTGACTCCAACCTCAAAATGCCCCAGCATTTTAGTTTAGGGTGCTGACTTTAGGGCTTAAAAACAAGTTTCACAGCCCAGTGTGGGAGGCTGAGGAAAAAACGCATGGCAGTTCTTCCTGGTGTTACTTCATGCCTCTGTACATGGAGTACAGACAGCTCCAGGGACTGCTTTCAATTCATCTAGCTCTCTACCTAAGCCAAATTGGAGATAACAGGAATGAAGATGAAGGAACCATGGCTGTTCTCTCCAGTTGGAGGATACTTCTTGGGGTCCCCTTTCTAAGGCACTCTGCTTCCATGTTCATGGAGACAGAGTGGAGGGTGAGGGAAATGCATACCCACGTTGGGCCAATGAGATGCTCCTCCTTCCAGGAACTCAGCAGCACTAGGAGCTGGGTTGTCCTCACAGGGTTGTCCTCTCTAACTCCAGGGCCATGTGCCAGCCCAGGACTGGAAGCAGAGACAGCCTGTCCTCTCCAGAAGGAACAGCTAGTGTGCTCAGAGGTGCAGATGTACAGGAGAGGATTTGGAAGGCCTTCTTGATCTTTTCTGTCCCTTCCCAGGCCTGGGTGACCTGGACTTCTGGCAGGCCCTGTCCTGTCATGACAAATTTTCTCTTTGCCTAGGCAAGCTAGAGTTGGCATCTGTTATTTGCAATCAAGTAGTCTTGGCTAATACGCCCACTTCCCACCTGCCACAATTCCAACCCCTGTCTGGAATGTCTGAGCAGACTGGGTGAGATGGCTGCTAACAGAGCAGATACTCATGACAGCAATCGCTATTGACTAGGATTCTGATGCCAACAGAGGAAAAAACATGGTGTGAGGGGCCTCTCCAGAAATGCAGCTCTGGGTGTCTCCCATCTCAGGGTGTCTCCCATTCATATGCGTAAATGTAGAGATGGGAGACACTTAATGCCATGTGTCCCTAGCATCTTCTTGGGACATGCCTCAAATAATAAGGCTCCTGTCTCCCGCTACACCAGGCCAGACACCCCCTGTTTTGGTGGGGGGACAGGGTCTTGCTCTGTCACCTAGGCTGGAGTGCAAGGGTAGTGAAATCTCAGCTCACCTCCACCTCCCAGGCTCAAGCAATCCTCCCACTTTAGCTTCCAAAGTAACTGGGACTATGGCCATGCGCCACCATGCCTGGCCAATTTTTGTATTTTTTGTAGAGATGAGGTTTCGCCATGTGGCCTAGGCTGGTCTTGAACTTCGGGACTCAAGGGATTTGCCAGCCTTGGCCTCCCAAAGTGCTGGGATTGCAGACATGAGCCAACTACACCCAGCCTAGACACCTTTTGAAGGCAGACACCGAGTCTCTCACCCTTGTCCAGAGAAGACAGTCAGTCAACATTTGTCAGGTTAAACTGAATTCAGTCCTCATGGTTACTAAGCATCCTTATTTTCCTACTTCAGAGAACAGAGGAAAGATGGCCACCTAGCCTGTTAACAGACTGAAGTGGCAGTGATAAAGGAGGGGTGCTGGAAGGCCGACCCAGCTGAGGATGCTCCCTAGGGGAAACGTAGCAACCCTTGGGAGGTCTGGCCACTCTTGGAGTCCTTAACCCGAAGCCTGGGAGCAGCAGAGGGAGTGGGGCAGGCTGCCTTCCCCTAAAGCTGCCTTTTTAGAAAGCAAATGATGCAGCGGTGTGGGCACACTCTGAGGGCTACACAGGAGCTAGCTGGTTAATGGCCAAGTGGCCAGCTCACGGGAAGCCTTCTTTTCCTGCCTGTGGCTACAAGATTAGGGTTTAGAAGATGCAGAGGAAGGTATAATGAGGCAAAAAAAAAAAAAATGAAAGAGATCAATTCAGATTGCCTGCATTTCTTTGGACTGTGTGCAAGACCCCAGACTAAAATCAGACACAAACATAAACCATAACCTATTCATTTCTGTATCGCTCAAAGTTTTGGCAAAGCTTTGAGTCATCAAATTTCATATCAATAAACCGCTGCTGATTTAAACGATGGGCTCTGGGATGTCTTTGGATAGAAGAGGGCTTCGGTCAGCTCCTGCTGATGCCCCAGACCAGACTTCCTACTCCCAGTGACAGGGTCCCTAGGGAGTTGCTGTCCACACAGAGTCTGGCCACAGCCCAGCTACCAGACTCTGATGCCTTCAAAGAATACAACACCTCCAGCTTCTCCTGCCCCCACTCCCATCCCCACCCCCATCAGCTCACTTTCTTCAGTGGAAAGAAAAACCTTCAGTGGAAAGAGAGTATTTTTAGACGATTGCTGGGGCATGGGGAGGGGGGCCGAGGAAGAATGACCACACTTAGGTGACTCTGCCAGGATGACACCATTTCTGCTCCTGAAAACAGTTTCAAGAGAAAGGCTCAGGGATGATATATAGCGGGAGCATCCTTTTTGTCTTCTCGGTGAATGGGATTTAATGTGAATAAACAAAAAGGAATACAAGCCAAAAGACCAGCCAAGGCACGAGGCGAAAATGTAGGGGTGAAGCTGAAAGCTGCCGGAAGCAAGGCCTTTGGTACCCCTACAGGTATGGAGTGTCAGCAAGCTACTAACCAGGCTGCGCCACTCTCAATATGTCTTTCCTCCATCCTCCCAGGGAGACCGGCTCCATCCAGAAAGGCAGATCCTGTGGCGGGGGTAAGCTGACTGAGCCCTCGCACCTGTTGGGAAAAAGTCCCAGAACCACACGGCTGTGTCTGCCTTTTGGAGGGCTGAGGGGGATGGGGTGGCTACGGATGGCTAGAGGGCAGCCAGAAGACAGAAAGCCCCCATGCAGGAAGAGAAGGAGTGCAGTGGGGGAAGGAGGGGTAGGCATCAGCTGGATTCTCTTTGCAGTTGACCAGGGTGCTAGTGGCAGCAAATGTGCCACTGGGTAGGCCGACCATGCCTGCGATTGGCACTCTAAAAGGGAATCAGAGAGAAGGTGGGCTGGGGCAGGTGGATGAGCACGGACAAGCTCTATCACCTGTTTCCCTATAGGCACAGGGGACTTTGGAAAAGCTAGTGTGGAGCCCGACCTCCCCTTTCCCCTCAACCTGGCTGCAGCTCTGCTTCTACCATCCTCAGGGCAACCAAAAGGGCAGTGGGCTCTGGCCAGCAGCTGGTAATCAGAGCCACAGGTTCCACCTCTGCCAGGAGCCCCAACCATGCCTCATAGGCAGGAGGTATTAGGGATGCACATCTGCGTGGCTCCTTTACCTTGAAAGCTTTTCAAGTGCTAACACATTCGATCTACTTTTCCAGAATGGAAAGGTTAAGGCTGAACCCCACTCCACCCCCCAGCCACAAGCAGACAAAAGCCAGTTTAAGTCCTTCCTGGCTGGGCCCTTGTCCTCTGTCATCTACAAATCTTCATTTCCCCAGGTAAACTGCCAGCTCCCTAAGGGAAGCCTCAGGACTGACTCTGCCCCATTTCTCTGAAGAGGACCAAGAAGCATCCTGATAACCACGATAGTGACGAGGAGTCTGTTACTGCTCTGGCACCCCACACTTAGCTGAACCTTCTCTCAGCCTACCTGCACTGATATGAGAGCTGCTACCTTCTCACAGGTTGGCAAGGCGGCCAGTGACCTGTCTCCTCCAACCCCATTCTTGTCTCATGGTGGGAGCAGCAATTCCCAGGTGAATCGTCAGACTCTCTGGGGAAGCTTTAAGGTTTTTCTAAAGTATATTCACCATGCAAATAAAAGTACTTTCTTTCTCAAAGGGGTTAGAAAAAGGTTGACCCAATGCAATACTACTCCACGCTCTAATGAAGAAGACTGAAAACAGTGTGTGTGGGTGAGGACAAGAAGCAGCTAACCCTCTTGCGTGCTGGTGGGCAAGAACACTGAAGAGCCCAGTGGAACCTTCTCCCCACCACACAGCAACCACACATCTTAGTAAGATGTGGATACATGTGAAATGGCTAATATTTGACCATTTTTGACCAACAAAGATGGCACTTTCATATATTCAACTTAATATATTCCCAATAAAGTGGAATAAATGTGCTCTATAAAAGTCAAGTGCTAGATGCTCAGAGCAGCATTTTCATAGTAGCCCTAAACTGCAAACACCAAGTGCCCATCAACAGTGGGAGGGATATGGGCCAGGCGTGGTGGCTCATGTCTATAATCCCAGCACTTTGGGAGGCCAAGGTGGGTCACAAGGTCAAAAGATCGAGACCATCCTGGTCAACAAGGTGAAACCCCGTCTCTACTAAAAATACAAAAATTAGCTGGGCATGGTGGTGCACGAGTGTAGTCCCAGCTACTCGGGAGGCTGAGGCAGGAGAATTGCTTGAACCCAGGAGGCAGAGGTTGCGGTGAGCCAAGATCGCGCCATTGTACTCCAGCCTGGGTAACAAGAGCAAAACTCCGTCTCAAAAAAAAAAAAAAAAAAAAAAAAAAAACAGTGGGAGGGATAAACAAACCGCAGTGTATTCACACAACAGGACTCGGCACAGCAATGGCAACGAAAGACTAGAATCACAGGCAACAATGTGTGTGATACTCACAAACACAGCAGAGGCAACAGAGCACGATGGATGAAGTTCAGGAATAGAAAAGACTGGTCTATGCTGTGAGAGGTCAGACCAGTGGCCATCCGGAAGGTGGGAGGTTTGGGGTGTGGTCGTATTCTGTTTCCAGATGCAGGGGCTGCTTACATGTTCGGTTTGTGAAAATTTATCAAGTTACACATACTTTTATATGTGATTTCCTGTATATATATTATGATTCAATAAAAGGTTAAAAAAAAGAAGGGGCTAGGATCCTGTTTATTCTTTTGGTTCACGCTGTTACAGAAGCCAAGCCACCCATAGCTGAATGCTGCCTGCTGTCCTCTGCTGGGCAGCCGTTACCAAAGGTGAGAGCTCTTCCAGAACACTGCAGATCTGGAGAGAAAGAACACTCTCTAGCTGGGTAGCAACCCCCATCTAGGAGTAGTACCCTTACCTGAAGCCCATGTTTTTCCCAGCTGGACCAGGAAACTGTGCCCACCCAGGCGGAAGCTTGTGAGGCATCTTAAGGCCCTGTTCTGCTCAAGTCCCCATGGCCAGCACACACTGCTACTGCCAGGCCAGCAACGGGAGGCCTCAGAACATGGTGCTGGCCACTTCACAGCATGGGCTGATCTCATGGGCTCAGGGCTGAGAGAAGACAAGCAAGAACCCCAAGTTCCATTTTACAGATAGGGTGGTAGACGCCCACAGAAATTACTACACCTGTCTGAGGTTAGCAGCAGGATGGCTAAAAGCTGGGAGGAGCTGGAATGTGTGGAGGGGTGATCCTGATAGGAAATCTTGGAGGTGAGGGCAGGGTGGGCAGGGATGGGTAACCTCAGGGTAGAGGCGTGAGCCACAACCAGTGAAGAAGGCTCTGTTTGCCTTTAGCCACGGTCCCTACACAGTCAGCAGGAGCAGCACAGACCATGCCCCTTGCGACAGCTGTGCTTGCCATGGGGTGGGCTGGCCACTCTACTGGGCACAGGCAGGCCTTGGTGTCAGAAAGCTCTCCCACAGGACATGCTTTGTGAGAAGAGGCCACCATTTGCTTTCCTAACATGAATTCCTGGGGGTGTTGAGGTAGGGGAATACAGCCCCAGAAGGAAGGGCAGTGGTAGGGTGGGTGTAGGGGGGAAGGGAAAGTACATGCACGTGTGTGTGTGTGTGTGTGTGTGTGAGAGAGAGAGAGACACACACACACGGATGTTGGGTAGGCAGAACGGGGGCCAGGGACAGCCCTAGGGGAAACATGGGAGGGCCACCCAGAGCTCCTCAGAATTAACTACATTCACTCATTCATTATAAAGAAATACTGATCACCCACTCTACACATTCCACTGCTCTAGACCCTGGGAACACCATGTTCCTGGAGTCTTAGGGAACGAAGAGTGAGGCAGACAAAAGAAATGTCAGCAAAGCCAGTCTTGAAGACCACAAAAAAGGATGATATGAGACAGGTAGTATGTGTGCTTAAAACCAGTCGGAGGCCTCCAGGCACATGTGAATGAGGAGGAGTTGCTGCTTTGAAAGCTGGGGAAGGACCTTTTGGGCAGAGGAAATTGAGCACAGGGAATGCAAAGAGGCTCCTCTCCAGCTGCACACCCGCCCCATCTGAGAGCCCGGCCTGCCCTGGCACACCATTTCCTGCATTCTCAGCTGCCTCCCTCTGCCTGGCTGCCTTCCTTTGCCCTTGCTGGACCCCCTTGCCCAGCCCTGGGTTGTTCTCTCCTCTTGGTTCCTGAGGCCCTTGTCTTGCCTCTGCCACGGCACTAATCACTCAGGCTGGAAGTGCCTGTTGACTTACGTACCTTCTGCCCTGCTACCAAGTGCTCTGTCTGAAACCCAGGTCTTCATACATCCCAGCTCAGACCCCTTCAGTGGCTTCCCACTGCGTACAGGATGCACGCCTGCAGCTCCTCAGCATGCATGGCCACCGGCCTCTGGGCATCCTTCTGGCCCCATCTCCTGCCTGCTCTCCCACCCCAAGCCCTCCCCCGAGCATTCTTTATTACACCCCCTCCCCCACATAATGGTCTTTATAACATGTCCACAAATTCCTTGCTCCTCCTCTCTTCAAGAGGTGAAGTTTATTTCCCTTACTCTTCAGGCTAGGGCTGGTGACTCCCTTCTAACATATAGAATATAACAGAAAAGATGGTATGTGACTTCTAAGACTAGGTCATCGAGACCAATCTTGATGTCCACATGGTGGTAAACTCAGGTCTCTTGCCAATAGTCAGCAAGGAACTGAGGCTTCCCCCCACCAGTCATGTGGGTGCACCATGTTGGAAGTGGAGCCTCCAGCTGTAGTCGAGCCTTCAGACAATGCAACCTCACAAGAGACTCCAAGCCAGAAGTGCCCAGCTAGCTGCTCCTGGATACCTGGCCCACAGAAACTATGAGATAATGAACATTTGCTATTTTAAGCTGCTGTGTTTTGAGGTAATTCATAACAGAGCGAGTGATAACAAATACAACCCAAATATGCCAATTGTCCTCTGATACGTGTGGGCCTTTGCACATGCTATTCTCCCTGCCTGTGACATCTCTCACACTGACTTTTCCACTAAGCTCCCCATTATTCTTCAGGGTCCAACAGAAATGTCCTCTCTTCAGTGAAACATCCCTTAACGCCATTCTTAGCCCCCCACCTTGCTCTGCCTGCCCCAGAGTTGGCACACAGCTCTAACATGGTTCTTCCTACTCCATGTTTCCTCAGAGGCCTGTTGAGACCACCTTACCTGCCTTTGCAGGCAGCAGAAGGCCGGCATCCAGAAAGCTTCAAGAAGGCTCTGTCAATTGGCTGGAGAGTCACCCATTAGAATTTCATTCCAGTGGGATGAGTATTTTTTTTAAGTATTTTGCATCAAATATTTAAAAGTAGAAGCCTCCATTTTTTTTCCTCCAAATGGTGGAAGAGCATGAGGACTCATCAATAAGAAACTTCATCTTACTCTATCCCAATAAATTGGGCAAGGGATCCAACCTACCTGGATCAGAGTAAGCACTTTGTCCTGTACAATGGTGGGAGGGTTGTTCTTGGGAGAGATAATTTTGACCAGAACACTGTCGATGAAATCTCGGTTGGCCACAAGGATGTGGAAGCGGTGGCCACAGTTCTTCACACATGTCTCCAGCACCTGGTGGGGGGAGGGAAGGAGAGGGGTCACCCCAGTGGGAGCTGGAGAAGACACTGGGAACTGAGGAGGGCAGCTGAGTTTCCACCAGCCGCTCTGTCTTGCTCCTAGATCAGCTTTCTGACATGCCGCTTCCAGAGCCAAACCTGCATGGCACACGCATTCCCACACTCCATTCTCCAAGGATGACAGCAGCCCCTTACTGACTGAAGTCTCCTGTCCCTGCACAATAATCAGGCAATTAGTTGGTAATTGAGGCACCAGTTTTGCATGAGAAGGATGCTAGTGTTTTAATAGGATCAAAATGACTGAGCCGTCCCTGAAAATTAGCATTTTAACTCCTCTCTCTGGGCCTCTGGGTATGAGGCATTAGCCAATGGGACACGGGCTCTGTCACAAGAGGAGGCTGCTATGACAGCTTGAATTGCTTAGTGAGTTACTGGCCCTTATATGTGAGAAAGCAAATGCATACACACATCCCCCACTCAACCTTGCTTCTGCAACCAAAATTGGGAATGACAAAAGATTTTCCACTCTTGACAAACATTTTGTGGACCTCAGCTGCCAGGTGACTTTAAGGTCCATGTTTGATTCAGACTCTGGCTGCTCCTCCCTTGTCTGGGAAAACGAGTGCCACAAGCCTTAGCTGCTCAGAAAAGCCCAGCATACTGGTTCTAGCCAGAGGGTCAGTGAGGGTTCACATCTCAGCTCCACCACTTTCTCCCTGAATGGCCCAGGACATCTTTCTGAGCCTCAGCATCCACATCTGTGAAGCGGAGATAATGAGCTCTCCTTTGCAAGATTGTTGGAAAGATTAGCAAGAATACATTTAAAGCATAGGCTGGGCGTGGTGGCTCACGCCTGTAATCCCAGCACTTTGGGAGGCTGAGGCAGGCAGGTCACCTGAGGTCAGGAGTACAAGACCAGACTGACCAACCTGGCAAAACCCCGCCTCTACTAAAAATACAAAAACTAGCCAGGATTGATGGCATGCACCTATAGTCCGAGCTATTCTGGAGGCTGAGGCAGGAGAATTGCTTGAACCTGGGAGGCAGGGGTTGCAGAGAGCTGAGATTGTGCCATGGCACTCTAGCCCAGGTAACAGAACAAAACTCTGTCTTAAAAACATACATATGTACATACACACATACACACACACACACACATACATACATAATACACCTAGCAAAAAATCCTGCATAGGGGAGGTGCCCAATAACTGATGATCATGATTACATGATTACTATAGGCTGCTGTACACACGAGGAAGGGGGTGGCCTCTTATTCTCCCATAGGACAGGTGTGTAGCCTCTTGGAGGTATCAACTGGGAGGAGCTCTCTGAACTTCCCAGCACGCACTCTGTAAACCAATCCATAGGACTGGGGCCCTTCCCATGCCACCAGCCCCCAGGCCACAGTCTACTAAGTGGAGAATGCTTCCTCAAAACCACATCACCAGCAACAGGGAACATTTCTGACTACCTTGGGTCATTCTCATTTGCCCAAACTAATCCAACCACTGGTTGACTTCTGCAGCCATCCACAGAGCTGGGTTCATGCAACTGGGCTTTACCTGGACAAATCACAGCTGTAAAGAGAAGTCCATAACTGGAATATTGACTGAATGCCAGGCACTATGAGAGATCCTTCCATATCATATGTAATTTTATCCAATTCTCACAGCTAATTACTTCTCCTTAAATGGACCTTAATATCCCATGTTTTAGAGTTAAGAGGTTTAGAAGGTGAAGACATTGATCTGGGCACAAACTGTCAATCAGTGCCAGAAGTAGCACAGGAGCTGTGATCAGCCCTCTCTGGAGCCCCAGTCTACTCGCCCACCTCGAAGCCACAGGGCCAGCCCTCCCTCCCAGCTCTCCAGGCAGCCACATCAGCTGAGAGGACCTCAGATGACAGGCAACATGTGTTAGATTTCTTGTTCCCTCATTTGGTCCTGGAAATAACCCTGTAAGGTGGAAATCATCCCATTTTAGAGACGAGGAAGCTGAGGATCAGGGGTGCCATGTAACTTCACCTAGGAGGCCAAAGCTGGGCCTCCCCATGCCGGGCAGGTCTGCAGCTGGCCAGAATTGTAGGAGGCAACAGGTTCCTCTAGGCTTGCCAAGGAAGACTCTGGAGCTCAGCACCCCAGGGCCTCTGAGCAACCATAGATTTTACTGAGCCAAGGAGGCATTTTCCTTTCTGAGTCTGCTTGTGCCTGATTCTGGTAACTGGCATTCACTCTCTCACAGTGATCCATGGGGGCACTGAGATGAACCAGAGGGATTCTTTCTGCCCTCAAAGGCCTTATAGGAACCTTTCTCTCTAGGATTCTCTAAAATCTTTCTCCCAACTCAGGCAGTGGGCTGTTGGGGTCAGGACAGATGGCAAGAAGTATACTTTATTTCATGAGAAGCAGGTGGGAAAGGCAAGGCTGCTAGTGTGAGTGGGAAAGAGAATTGGAAAAAGCAGCATAGGTCTGAGGGGCAGGGCAGCCTGGGGCTCTACTCCACTCTGAGAGCAGCAGTGGGCAGTAACCGCTTCCTACCTTTAGGAAACACATGCTTAGCTTCTCCGGCACAGCAGTTCTCGAGGTCAGTATGTCCCAGCCTGGCCTTGGAAGTGTCCTGGACAGAGATGCATATGCCACAGAGCAGTCCCAAAGCCTATCTTAGCAGGAGGTACAGGATGTTCTCCTTGGGCTGCCAAGAGCTATTTAGGCCACCCTGCCAAACAGGACCCTAACAGATTTGTCCCTATGGGTTGAAAGGCATGAAACACACTGTGGCAATTTTCCAGAATGAAGCCAAAACCCACAGAGAAACCAAAAGGATCCTCTAAGCAATCAGAAATGATGTTTTAAGTCCACAAATGAAGACACAAGCAGAGAGGCCCTCGGGGCTTTTTACTAACTTATTTTGGGTAAACATTAACAAGCTTGGTGGGTACAGATAAGAAGTCAGGAAAGGGCTGCAAGAGACAGGAGGACTGAAAGTGACTAATAGAGTAAGTGAAGCCCTAACAGGAGACATGAGACCACACGAAGTGCACTAGGATGGGGCCTCGGGGTAGGGACGGCAGCTCTGCGTATTTCACAGGCCTCCCAAAGGCTGGGTTTGTAGTGAAGACCCGATCTGCAGGGAAGGTCAAACAGTGTCCATCGTGCCCTGCTAGAGGAAGGCAAATAAGCCCAGAGTTCACTTTGGAAAGATTTCCATCCAACACGATTACCATGAAGTTGGGTGTGTAAATAGAGAAATTTTAGATAGCAGTAGCATGCCCTGACATATATATCAGGGCTCATTCCCTGGTGATATGAGTTATAAAGCCATTCATTTTGGGCATCACTCCTGGTTTAGTCAATGCTGTGGCTCAAATTCTGAGAAAAAATTAAAATAAAAGCTTCAACTCTCTATTTCTTAACCAGTCTTTATTATTCAAATCCCAATTCCCTGGCAGAACTCTCTTAATAAGTTTTGGGGTTTCGCTTGGGCAAAAAATCCAAACAGTCTCTGTGCTTTAAAAGGAAACATGGCTGTTTTGGATAAATAACCTACTATTTCAAAGCCCCAGAGAAGTTGACCTGGTGACCTGTTACAGTTTCTATTTTAAGAACTTACTGTGGCCCAGATTTTGTCACATCTGAAAAACTGTTAGCTCTCAAGACAGAAATAACACCTGAAGTCATCTTTTAAAATTCTCTGACAGCTTTGGTAAGGGCAAAAATCTGGTCTGTTCCTTCCTGAAAAAAGTCACTTGGCTGACTTTTTCAAGAGTCTTTGTAGCTATTTTCAGTTTTTACCCCATGCAAAAGACCACTTTATGATGGCAATCCACAGCTTGGTACCTCACTAGCTGTGAAGGCTAGGTAAACCTCCAGACTTCTCTGAGCCTCAGTTTCCTCATCTGTATGAGGGGCATAGTGAAATATCTTTTGAAGGGTGGTTGTAAACATCTGCATTAATGTCCAAAAAGCTCAGCACTGTCCCAGGCCGGTACTCAACAGGTGGAAGTTACTTTTTTTTTTTTTTTTGAGACGGAGTCTCCCTCTATTGCCAGGCTGGAGTACAATGGTATGATTTCGGCTCACTGCAGCCTCTGCCTCCCAGGTTCAGGCGATTCTCCTGCCTCAGCCTCCCAAGTAGCTGGGACTACAGCCTCCCAAGTAGCTGGGACTACGGCTAATTTTTTATATTTTTAGTAGAGACAGGGTTTCACCATATTGGCCAGGCTGGTTTCTAACTCCTGACCTCATGATCCACCCATCTCAGCCTCCTAAAGTGCTGGGATTACAAATGTGAGCCACTGCACCCGGTCAGCATTTTTATAAAGAGGAAACTGACATCTAGAGAAGGAGTTGGTCTCAGTCTCAGAGCAGGTTGCTGGCTGAAAAGGGACTTACTCCAGACCTTTAGCTCCTCTGCTCTGGGCTTTTGTACCTGACAGCACTACACACACCCTATCTTTTGCGGATATACATTCACCAAATTGAAGCTCATTCCCTGTTTCAGAGGACAGGAAAACCCAAATACCAGAAGGCTTTGCTGGATTCCAATGGCCCAGGCACCAAGCCATTCAGAGGTTGTGCTGAGTGGGCAGAAGGAAGGCCCTATGAGGGGGGCAAGGCCAGAAGCAAGGAGTTCCCCAGACACCTTCCCTCCCTAAGGAGAGTAGCACTCACGGTTAATGCCAGCATCACCTCTCTGTAGTTCCGGTTCCCGTTAAGCCGCTTCTTCAGGGCTCGAATGGCATCCTTTGGCCTGGAGAAAAGGACAGACATTTTAAGATACTTACAATCCTACTTGGGGATACGATCCTACAGATATGTGAACTAGCATATATGCAAAACTATTCGCTGGCTGCAGCATCTTCATAAATGGAAAAGACTAGAAAGAAACTGAATGCCCATCAACACAAAACAGGTTAAATTATATCAACACAATGGAATACTATGCAGCTGCAAAAAAGAATAAAGAAACTCTTGCACCAATATGGACCAAACTCAAAGACAAATGTGAGCCACTGCACCCGGTCAGCATTTTTATAAAGAGAGTGCACAGAGTTCTTTGCATAACAGTGTACAAAGTTTGCTATTAGTTGAGTTATAGAAGGAAAGCATACATAGCACACAAGCCAGCGTAGGGAAGAGAATCTCTAGAAGGAGCTATAACAACCTGGTAACTGTGGCTGTCCCTAAGGATGGGAACCAAAGGTGGAAGGGAGGTTTTTCACTGAACTGCCTTTCAGCAGACCTTTTGAATTCTGTATCACATGCAAGTATTATTTATTCAAAACCATAACTAACCCACTGGTGTGTGGGTACACTGAAGAGAGTTTTTCCAGAGAAACCATAAGAGAGACATAGAAGAGAGAGTGCCAGGTACTTGTGAGGCTTGGATGTCCAGCTCTTCCTGAATTCCATGGAACTCTTTTTCCCAGAGAAAGCTTAAGTGAGTCTCCTTAAAACAAGTTTTGTGTTTTTAGGTGACAGATCTGAGGTAGATCCCTAGAGAAAATCTCGTAGACTTATAGGCAGTACTCAATTCACAAATGGGCCACGTCCAAAAGTTGGAGTGAAGTTGCATGGAAGTTGGAGTGAGTTCTTCCTTAATTACTGTTGTACCTTAGAGTTAGAATCCTCAGCCAGCCCTCTAAGTATACATATTACAAGTAGGTCTTATGTCTAACATATTATTTAATTTATTCTAACTCAGGATTCAACAAAGCTGTGGGCCTAGAAGCTGCCCCTAGCACAAAGTCCCTGTGCTGACCCATCACCCTATGCTCTGGGGAGCCCTTAGTCTGGCTGCGGATCAGCCCTTTGCTATCACACATGGATTCCAGCCTTCCACTAATCTATGTGCCAATACACTGGTCTTTCCCAGCTTGAATGCTTGTAAGTCAGGGATCTCCTATTCCTACAGTTTTAAAACATTTATACTCTATTTACCAAATGAAAAGGCCCCTTCAAATGTATATGAGGAAGTTGAGGGAAAGAGTAGATACTCTGCTAATTAGTTTAATTTAAGAGAAAGTGGGCCAAGCATGGTGGCTCATGCCTGTAATCCCAGCACTTTGGGAGACCAAGGCAGGTGGATCGCTTGAGGTCATGAGTTCAAGACCAGCCTGGGTCACATGGTGAAACCCTGTCTCTACTAAAAATACAAAAAAAATTAACTGGGCACGGTGGTATGTGTTTGTAATCCCTGCTACTCTGGAGGCAGAGGTAAAAGAATCGCTTGAACCTGAGAAGTGGAAGTTGCAGTGAGCTGAGATCATGCCACTGCACTCCAGCCGGGTTGACAGAGTGAGATTCCATCTCAAAAAAAAAAAAAAAAGGTGAAAGAAGCAAGGCTTTGAAAGAACATTTTAAAACACCCTGAATCACCTGTTTCCCATTCCCAGCTTGACATACGGCTGCCTTGCAGGAATTCTTGGCCCCTGGGTCAAAGGGCAGATGAGACACAAGGCTCCATGGGGACTGGGCCCAAGGCCAAGTATGTCTGCAGTACAGCTGCCATTTCCAAAAGGGGATGCTGATTTCTGCAAATATGGGACTTAACCAGCTCTCTGCGTTGAGGGCTGTTTGTGGCCTGAGAGCTGATGAAATTCAGTGGCTACTGGCCAAGAGCATGGACTGATTTCCTCTCTCCAAGGCTCTGCCAAACCACTGCTGTCCCTGACCCAGAACCGCCACACCCTCAGTCCTGTCTCTCTTCTGTCCTCTTGAACTTCCATGGAACAGGAAAATAGGAAGAGCACCTGAGGGCTGTGATCACTTCTGGCTGGCAGAGCACCAGCACATTCAGGGCTCTCCTGGTGTGGGGGCCGCAGGGTGGGAAATCAGTAGGCTCCTGGGTGAGGTTTAAAATGGAAATTCATCCACAGGCTCTGGGAAGTACTGGCTGAAAGTGATGGGTGAGCACAAAAGCAAGTATTTATCTCTCTCCCTGGGGGAGAAGCTTCAGAGAGGAGGATCAAAGTCATGTCAAAGGAATCACAAAGTTTCAAGAAGCTGCAGCAGATTAGATAGGTGGAGTTGGAAACCAGGAGAAGAGAGAGAAGCGTGTGTCAAGAGCCAGATGGAGTAGAAAGAAAGGATCAGGAAGAATCAGACGCCTGAGTTAAGATGGCACCAAGCCCTAGCAGCTTTCAGGGAAAAGGTCAGTCTCCTCAGGCAGTGCTCACAGCCTCACGATCTGGCCTCTGGGCCATGATCAGGCTCCTCAAAGTCTCCCTGGACCCTAGACTTGCAAACACTCTTTCCTGATCCCCAGACAAGCTTCCTGTCATGCCTCCAGCCACAGCCTTTATATCTCTTGTCCTTCACCTTCAGAACTACTCTCTGGAAAAGCTTTCACCTCATCACTCCTAAGGAGGACACGGCTGCCCCTCTTTCATCACCCTGAACACCCCCTCTCCAGTTATTACCTTGCTCTATTGCATGTCATCAGTTCCTCCTCTGTGCCCTCTCCACCTTAGAAGGTAGAACGCAGACAAAGAGTCTGTGGCTGAGGAGGGTCCAGAGATGGCCATGAAAATGACCCAGGTCAGTGGGTCCTCATGAGAGCTGCACATCAGAGTCACCTGGAGTGCAATTGCCAAATCCACAAGCTGTGCCTTGATTGGGCAGGTCTGGGGTGAGACCTGGAAAACAGTCTAAAACAGTCCCAGTCCGAGCACTGTGGCTCAAGCCTACAATCCCAGCACCTTGGGAGGCCGAAGTGGGAGGATTACCTGAGGTCAAGAGTTTAAGACCAGCCTGGCCAACATGATGAAACCCCGTCTCTACTAAAAATACACAATTAGCCAGGCGTGGTGGTGCACACCTGTAATCCCAGCTACTTCCGAGGGTGAGGCAGGAGAATTGCTTGAGCCTGGAAAGTGGAGGTTGCAGTAAGCTGAGATGGCACCTTTGCACTCCAGCCTGGGTGACAAGAGCAAAACTCTGTCTCAAAAAAATAAAATAAATGAATAAAAAATAAATAAAAACAGTCCCAGGTAGGTTATTCAGTCAGCCACTCCTGGTTAATATCTGAGGGACTGTCACACAAGGCCTTAGGCACTAGCATTCCTCAGGCTGATGGTGACCTCAGCCCTGGACATTAGGGAAAGGCCAAGGAGAGGCCTCTGGGCAGCTTACCAATCTGCACCCACTAGGACCACAGCCTCCCATTGGTAAAGCACTGCACAAACACAAGACGTACAGGCAGCACTTCAGTGACTACAGCCAGGTGAGCCTGTGCCTGCATCCTGCATGCGCCTTTCCAAGCTGTGCTACACCTTTGGCAAGTGACCAAACTACTCGGCCTAAGTTTCCTTAACACTGAAACTGGCTGTTGCTACCATATAGAACTGTTGGGGGGGGGGGTGCTGCTTGTGATGACGTATGGCATGGCTGGACACAGGGCCTGGCATGTGGCAAGTGCTCAGAGATGGCAGACAGGGTAAGGGCAGTGAATCCATAGAGATCATCACCAAGACTGGGCAGATAACTGACACCCAAGTGAATGATGACAGAAGTCATGAGCAATGAAAATATTTAAAGGGAAATAGTAAATCCATATATATAGTATGGATATGAAGGTACAGTTACATAACCAGATACTTCATATATATTTACTCCTTTAATCCTTATAACAACCCTATGAGATAGTACTATTGGCAATCCCATTTATAAATGAGGAAACGAGACACAGACACAGAGAGATGAAGTAGCTCACACAGGGTTGCACAGTAAGTGAGTGGTGACCTAGGACTGCTCCAGCCTGGGGTGTCCATTTCCTCCCCTTCATCCACCTGCCTCATCTGGCTGATACCCTGGCACCCTGTAAGACTCCAGTCTGGTGTCACCTTCTCCAAGAAGGTTTTGCTGCCAAAAGTCCCAAGGCTGGCCACTACCACTGCACTAGTCTCTATAGCTTCTCTCTCTCTTTCTCCCTCCCCACACCCAGCACTCATCATGCTGTATTATGCTTATGTTTATATGCCTGCATTCTTCATCAGACTAGGAGTGCCTTAGAGACTTCATTCCTTTATTCATTTATTTAACACATATTTATCAAGAGCTAATCACATGCATTGTGCTAGGTACTAGAAACGAAACGGTGAGCAAAACAGATGGAAATCCTCCTGGAGCTCACAGCCTCATAGGGGTTGCAGGGCCTGACAGACACTAATAACTGTCCCACAGATTTGTAAGTTTAAGCTGTGATGAGCATCAGTACAACACAGGTTATGAAATCATGTAACAGAGGACTTGTTCAATTCAGGAGGGAAGGGAGTTAGAAAAATGAGATTCAAACAGATCCAGTGAATGGTGGGATCTACTTAGAGAGGTGATGGGAACAGAAGGGACAGTAGGTCAGACACCCTTCAGGGAGGGCACAAAGGTGTAGGTGGGGCAACCTACTGTCAGTCCAACTAATAGGAGTTTCTCCCACTTAGGAAGAAACTTTTTTTTTTTGATATGGGGTCTCACTACATTTTCTAGGCTGGTCTCAAACCCCTGGCCTCAAGCAATCCTCCCACCTCAGTCTACTGAATAGCCGAGACTACAGGCATGAGCCAGTGCATCCAGGTAGGAAGATATTTTGAGACACCTCACAGCAGAGGCAAGGAGAGAACATTATCAGGAATCACTGAGGTGCTCTCGCTCAAAAAGGGAGCAACAGGAGCTTGGACCACTTGAAGAGCAGGATGTGTGTGACCAGCCTTCTGGGAGTTGAGGGTTTGAAAAAGAAGGCATTAGCCCCTTCAGAATGAGGAAGCTCCCGGGGTTCCTGGGCTTCCTGCCCTCGAACCATGGAGATGTTTGAGCAATTCACTGGAAAATAAGAGTTGCCAATATTTTTGTGTATTGCTCAAATTTGTGGAGAATTTCAAGCTGGGCCCAGAAATGTGGAAAATTCAAGGAGCTGAAAGATTAGCGGGATTGAAGAGCTCAAAGAGAAACTGTCGAGGGGTCACTGTCATGACCAGCCTCCTCTCTTCCCATCCTCCTCTCTTCCCATCTCCCTTCCACAGTCTTGTCCTCACCTGAACAGGTTATAATGTTTAATTATCTTGTTTATGGCCTGCCTCCTGACTCTAGACTGGCAGCTCCCCAAGGAGAAGGAGTCTGTCTTGTTCACTGCAGTGTCCTCAGTACTTATAATAGGGCCTGGCATAAAGTAGTTACTCAAGAAATATTTGTTGCAAAAAAGCAGGACCAAGCTCAAGGGGCTGGTCCCCAGTTTGCACGTGGCAAGGCTAGAGTGACAGTGCTGAGATGCTAGTCCAGGGATGCCTGAGTCCCAGCTGCCCTCCTTGCCACTCTGAAAACTGTTTAAGAGGGCATGCTTACAGTAAAATAAGTGTTCGTGGTATGGGCGTAGGGCTAGATACAGACCAGTTTGGAAGAAGTACAGAGTGCATCTATAAAGCAGAAGAAGATACAGGAAATAATAATAAGAATGCATCCAGCAGTGCAGAAATGCAGGAGGGGCAACGTGGGCTAAGTACATTCACGTCACTTTCCCACTCCTGGCTGTGTCTGCTCCATGCCCTGGACCTCCCTCCATGGACACTGTGGTGCTTTCTGACTCCTGGCAAACCAGGGCAGAGACAGGCTGTGAAGGAGTGGCAGAGGCCAGGGAGAGGGGGAGGGAAGAAGTGACATTTGGGCGCAGAGACTATTGGCCACTGGGAAGCAAGTAATCAAGCAGCTTCATTTCCACTTGTGATTAAAAGCAGGTGATTAACAGAGGTCTTCCCTGCTCTACCTCCAGCACTGCCACTGGGTAAGTGGGGGAGGGATGAAGACAAAAAGGACAGATAATTCAGAGTGTCAGCTTATTAATGCCAAAACAAACAGACTAAAAACAAAACAAAAAATGAAAACTGCCACTTTTAGGCCCTGACAAGCTTTGAGTGACCCCTAGAAGCTGAGAGAGGCTTCCCAGGAGAGCGGGGGCACACATACCCTTCCTCTGTCTCATTGATGATGTCACAGATCTCCATATTCAATGTCCAATCCTCACTTTGCAGGGAGCCATCTGTTGCCTTTTCTGTGAAATCAGAGAGAAAATGGGTTTACATTTCTCCTGGAATAAGTGAGCCTTGGCAAGAAATGGGAAGAGACCAGAACCACCACATTCTCCTCCCGAACAGATGGCTGAGCCAACACAGCCATTCTAGGGGTGCTGCTATCAAAAGAGAACATCTGAGGAGGTCCTGGCCTGAGGGCTGGTGTTATAACTAGGTTCTTCATTCACTAAACTCTAGACTGAAAAGCTCATGACAGGCCTAAGCCATCAAAAATCACCCCAAACATGAGGATGTTAGGTTTGTGAGCCTGTAGAGTCTGGAGCCAAACTACCTAGGTTCAAATACAGGCTCTGCTACTTACTAGTTGTATGATCTTGGGCAAATTATTTAACTTCTAGGTGCCAAAGCTAGTGAAAACAACAGTACTTACCTGATACATTTGTTATAAAAATTAAATGGGCTGATACACATGAAACACTTAGAACAGACCCTGGCACACAGTCAGTACTATACAGGTATTTGCTACTGGGATTATTAAAAATCAATTGCAGTATCACCTCACACCCATTAGGACAGCTACTATCAAAAAAATAGAAAATAACAAGTGTTGGCAAGGACACAGACAAATTGGAACCCTTTTACACTTTTGGTGGGACTGTAAGTACAGCTGCTGGGGAAAACAGTATGGTAGTTAAAACATAGAATTACCCTATGATCTAGCAATTCCACTTCTGAGTATATACCCAAAAGAATTAAAAGCAGGGCCCTGAGGAGATATTTACAGCCTCATGTTCATAGCAGCATTAGTCACAACAGCCAAAAGGTATAAACAGCCTGTGTTCATCAACTAATGAATGGATAAGCAAATTGGATACACATATAATGGAATATTATTCAGTCTTAAAAAGGAAGGAAATCCTATTGCATGCACAATATGGCTGAACCTTGAGGGCCTTGCACTCAGTGAAATAAGCCATTCTCAAAGACAAATACTAGATAATTCTTCTCATATGAGGTACATAGAGTAGTCAAATTTAGAGAGAGAAAGTAGAATGGTGGTTGCCAGAGGCTGTTGAAGGGGTGCAGGGGGAATGGGGAGTTATTATTTAATGAACACAGAATTTCAGTTTGGGGAAAATGAAAGAGTTATGGAGATGGATAGTGTTGATGGTTGCATGCAGTGTGAACGTACTTAATGCCGCTGAACTGTACACTTTAAAATGGTTAATATGGGCCAAGCGAGATGGCTCACACCTGTAATCTTAGAACTTTGAGAGGCTGAGGCAGGAGAGTTGCTGGAAGCCAGGATTCAAGAACAACCTGGGCAACAGAGCAAGACACTGTCTCTGCGAAATATTTAAAAATTAGCTGAGCATAGTGGCCTGCACATACGGTCCCAACTACTAATGAGGCAGAGGCGGGAAGACTGCTTAAGTCCAAGAGTTTGAGGCTGCAGTGAGATATGATTGCGCCACTGCATTCCCGCCTAGGTGACAGAGTAAGATCCTGTTTCATTTTTTTGGACAGGTTTGGTGGCTCACACCTGTAATCCCAGCAGTTTGGGAGGCTGAGACAGGCAGATCACAAGGACAGGAGATCGAGACCATCCTGGCTAACACTATGAAATCCTATGTCTATTAAAAACACAAAAAACTAGCTGGGCATGTGCCTGTAGTCCCAGCTACTTGGGAGGCTGAGGCAGGAGAATCCCTCGGACCCAGGAGGCGGAGATTGCGGTGAGCCAAGATCGCACCACTGCACTCCAATCTGAGTGACACAGAGAGACTCCGTCTCAAAAAAAAAATTGTTTTTAATGGTTAAAATAGTAAATTGAATGTTATGTGTATTTTAAAAACCACCATCAAAAAAGGCAGAAAAATTATACATAGGTCAATGGACTGTTGAGTTGGGGAGTAGCAGAGTGGGGATCAGAGATCATTTGGGTCTGTAACGTCCTTTGACAGGACACTTAGGGCCTGCAGAAGAAAAGGAAAAGGTACAGGAGCTCAGGATCATCAGTGGCAGAGCCAGGACTAGAACCAGGGTCACTTGACTCCCTTCCCCCTCTGGGCTGTGAGCTCCATGAGGGCAGGGACTAGGTCTGTCTTGCCTTCCTGTCTATGTCCCCAGTACCCAGCACTTGGCAGCAGTGCAATAGTTACACCAGATGAATGACTGTGTTAGCATCCCTTCCTCTAACCTGTGGATCTCAGCCCTGGTTGCACATGAGAACCACCTGGGGAGCTTCTAGAGCAAACCAATACCTGAGCCTCATGCCTCAGAGGTTCTACTTTGAATGGTATGGGGTAGGAATCAGGGATTATTATTATTATTATTTGATACAGAGTCTCGCACCATGGCATAGGCTGGAGTGCAATGGCGTGATATCGGCTCACTGCAACCTCAGCCTCCCAAGTAGCTGGGATTACAGGCATGTGCCACCATTCCTGGCTAATTTTTGTATTTTTGGTAGAGATAGGTTTCGGCATTATGGCCAGGCTGGTCTCTAACTCCTGAAGTCAGGTTATCCACCTCAGCCTCCCAAAGTGTTGGGATTATAGGCATGAGCCACCGCACCCAGCCCCAACATTCTTAATAATTGGAGAGGTAGATGATTTGGCTGTTTTCTTCTCCATTCTCACTAAAAGGATGTTGCTGAATGCAAAATGCTAAAACCAGCCCTCTTTTGCCTTCTGGTGTTAGCTGCTTCTGAAGTCACTATATTTAACATCAAAGTGTAGAAAGCGGCAGCCAAAAAGCCAAGCCACTGGATTGCGAGGCTCTTCTAAACAGGGCTGCCTTAGGTTTCAGAGAGCACAGGAGGGTGGGTGGGCAGATAATCATGCTCAGAGCCAGCACTATCACTGCTGTCAGCATCAAGGCTTCAGGGCATCCTGGCCTGGGTCCGACACCAGGCGAGAGAAAATGCCATGGCAACGGCATCAGGATGCTATGCTGCTCTCACACTGAAGGTTTAATGGGAGCTGCATCTGATTATCCGAGCTCAGGCTGCCCTGCCTTGTCCAGTCCAGCCCAACCTAGCCCGCCCTACCCAGCCTCTTGCCCAGCCCAGCCCTTGACCATTAGTATGTCACCAGAGAGGTCAGCACTTTACAATTATCCATCCAGAGGGTTGGCTGGTGGGAATGACTTGCCCCACTGCTTTCTAGAGCACCGTGTTTCTGCAGTTGCACCAGGTTTTATTTTAGGTTTTGACGATTTAGGTGACAAAATAAATGAGACTGAGCTTTGCTTTGCTGTGGCCTGGGGACAAGACTGAGTGACGAAGCCCACATTGAGTGGCCTTAGTTCTAGAGGCAATCAGATCCAGCTTTGCTCTTGATTTGCTGGAAATTCTTTTATGAAGAGAAAAAGCAGAACTGATTTGAGCTCCTTTCTCAGCCTTACTCCCCTCATCTTGTTTCAGCAGAGCTAAATACCCATGGTTGTGTTTGTGTGGCATTTTCTGCAAAATGAAAATAAAGAAGCATTCTTTTTGGGTTTGTTCTTTACAATCAAAATGAGTATATATCCTTTAGCTTGAAAACTCGAATCCCAGTAATTGAATAGAATGCACTGACCCTGAGGATAAGTTATCATGCCTTTGAACCCTTCCCCAGTATTATAAGAGGAAAGGAGAGGGTGAATATAAGGTTAATGGATTCTGCTGCTAAACCGAACTTGGAAATGAGGTTTCATTGATTTAATATTTCCTCTATTAAGCCTCCCAAGACTGTATCCTTTGTGGCCCCACCAAAGTGCAATCTCTGTACTTTCTTCTCCATGAGAGTGTGCCACAGCTTGAGTTTTGTGAAGGGGAGAGAAGACTACCCCCTGGCCAGCTGGCCTCTCCCCTTCCTGGCTCAAAAGAGTAGCAAGCCCAGGCCCTCAGGCAGAGCTGCTTCCATCAGGATGAGTCTCCTCCAGAGGAGGCTGCTGGGTTTATGGCTGCAGACATGCCCCTACTGTGTGTGACCCAGGTAGTGAGTCATTCTTCTGCGAGTGGACACCTTGAAGAGGAGGGGTGTTCAGAGACAGCTGCAGAAAGAGCAGGGGCAGAGGCAGGCACCATTTCATTGCTGCAGGCTTCCAGCACACCTGGGGCTCATCCTGCCTCTGGATAAGCCACAGGGTGACAGGGCACACTGCTGTCTCAGTGGCTACATCATGTTCTCCCCATTAACCTTCCTGGAGCCTCTGCCCTCAGTCTTTTCTTCTTTTAAACCAAACTGATGGTGCCTACCACCACCCCCATTCTTCCCAGCCCTGCCTGCCCTCCCTCAGGTGGCTCTGATTTCTCCCTGATAGGCCCAGGTGTGCTCCTTGCTGGCTTTATGACTTTTACTCTCTTTCCACATGCATGAAAAGGGCAGGGAAGGGATAGGGCATCTCTGGGGCCTATCTGGCTCTTAGCCATTGCTGACATGCATTCTCATCCCTTCCTCTCCTCCTCCACCTACCCCATCTGGTAGACAAGTAGAAATACTGCATCTGTACCTGCCAGCCTGATGCCGTCTGAAGACTAAATTTGCTTAAGATTTCTCCAAATCTCAAGAGCCTCCCAGCCCCTGACCAGTCCTCTGCCTGTGTATTGCATTCATCTGAAGTCAGATTCTCACCATCTGGGGATGGGGTTGCTTTCTCAGAGCAGTGGCTTGGCAGGGCACCTGGAAGCACCTGGGTGGTCAAAAGTCTTTGAGTTTTTGAGTGCCAAGTATGATGAATAAAGAGAAAAGGTTAGGGATATATCCTTTTTGGTTAAAAAATTTAAAAAGAGCAATAAATAAAACAATGAGGCTTTTTGATGCAGACAGAAGACGGTTGCACAAATGTTTTGAGCAACGGCTATATTTTTGGAGTCTGCTGTCACTGCTTGTAAAGTATAGCTTCTTTTGTTTGGATGTGTGAGTTCTAACTAGTATGTTACGTAAAAAACAAGTGTCACTTCACCATAGCTGCATCCAGTAAAACAAGGACACTTCCAGTTTGCACAAAGGTCTTCTACGTTATTATCCCAGTA